GAATTAAGTTTGTAACCAGAGGTACCACTGTAGTTGGGAAAAGCTAGAGGTCAGGCAGTATATTCTAACTGGACTACAGCAGGTTCCTTCCTTTTGAACAGAGGTCCTTACACTTGAAAAAATGTTTTGAGGCTTACAGAAGAAGTATAACTCTGACAATACATGCAAATAAGCTGGAATCCTACAGAACAGCAGTGAGGAAGTCAACTCACATAAAGCTTGGCTTTACTTCATTGGAAAATATCTGTGTTGATAAATTCATATCATAGGGCTGTGCTATTATGCACTTTGTGTGAGGCTTCTCTTAAGGCAGGTCTGGAAACTGTAGTTAATGCAGAAGTTGGGTTGCTGAGTGATGCAGCCAACCATATGAATGTTACACCTTTGCTCAAACAACTGCACCGGTTGCCAATATTTAGAAGAGTCAGCTTATATCTTTAGGATTAAGGCTAGTTGTTTCTCTGAGCTGTTTGGAAGCTTGTTTGCGTGTTTGTATGTTTGGTCATGTGCCACGGTACTGTGAGAGGCTGAAGGAGGAAGTGAGTTGGAGGACACAAGCTCTCATCTATTTGGAGAAAATATAGTATTGTGGGGCACATAGCAAGAAGATGTAGATTGGAGAATTATATTATGCCTTTGGACAAGGAGTCTGAGAACAGGTGCAGACACTGGAGAGCCCAGGGGTACATACAGAAAATGCTCAGGAAGAATCATCTACAGCAGGGGTCAGCAACCTAAGGCCCATGGGCCAGAAGCGATGCACAGAGGTCGTTTGACTGGCCCACGAGCCGCCCCTGAACTGAGCTGCCTGCTCACGCGCTGTGCTAAACTGGCACAGTGCAGGAACTCGCTTCCGTGGCACCAGAAATTGCGTCTGCGCAGACGCCGGAAATTGCAGGCTCCCACGCAGGCGCGATCCAGCCCACAGAGGGATCTCCGCAGGACCAGTCCGGCCCAGATAAACCTTACTGGCCCCTGATCAACAGCTTCCAGGCTTTCCAAACATGCCCTCTGAAGTATCAGGTGTGCGTACCCTAATGGAAGCTCATTACCAGTAGGCTACTTAGCTCGGAAGAAAAGAGATGCTAACAAAACACTGCAGGCAGAGATAACACACTTGAAGGACCTGGCACAGAATCTCTAGCACAGGTTGATAAAAGTATCCTTTGGGGACTAGTTGACTTTGTCTACACCAGCAGCCAATGAGGCGAAAGTCCTTGGCATCAAAGAGTAGCACAGAAGCAAGGATGACAAATATAGGGAGCATGAACAAATATGCAGGAGCATGAACAATCAAGGAGTGTGAGAGCCCTCCAAATGAAAGTGACATTAGGTGGAATTCTAACTGAACAATGGTTCTGAACTTTATTTGAGGATAAACACTGAAATGTGGCTAACCTTGAGTCAGAACCAGATCTGAATCCAACAAGGAGGTAGTAGTATGTAATGCAAGCTCCTATTGTCAGAGAAAACAGTGAAAGCAGTCTCCTCTGTACCAGGGTAAACGTATCCAACTTCATCAACAATTCCTTATAAAGCTTGGTTTCCAGACCCTTGATCATCTTGGTCACCCTCTCTGCACACATTCCAGCTTGTCAATATCCTTCTTAAATTGTGGCGCTCAGAACTGAACACAGAATTCTAGGTGTGGTCTGACCAAGGCATAATAAAGTGGTACTATTACTACCCCTGGTTGTGAGACTATACTTCTGTTGATGCAGCCTAGAATAGCCTTAGGGTTTTTTGGTGCTGCATCACTGTTGACTCATGTTAAGCTTGTGGTCCACTAAGACCCCTAGATTGTTTTCACATATACTACTGGCAATGTTTTATTAGTGCAGCTGGTTCTTCCTGCCTAAGTGCAGAACCTTACATACGTCCCTAGTGAAATTCATTTTGTTAGGTTTGGCCCAGTTCTCCAATATATTATGGCCATCTTGAATCCTGATTTTGTCTTCTGTGGCATTGGCTAACCCTCCCAGTTTGGTGTCATCAGCAAATTTGATGAGCGCGTCCTCAATTCCTTCATCCAAGTCATTTATAAAGATGTTGAACAACAACAGACCCAGGACCCAGGACAGAACACTTAGCACTTTTTTGCAGGATGACGAGGAACCATTAATGAGCATTCTCTGGGTTCGGTCAACCAACTACAAATCCACCTAACAGTTACCTCATACAGCCTACGTTTTACCAGCTTCTGCACAATACCATGGGAGACTTTGTCAAAAGTCTTACTGAAGTCAAGATACACTACGTCTACAGCATTCTTCTGATCCACCAAGCTTCTAACTATCAAAAAATGAAATGAGATTTGTCGGGCACACAGATTGTTTGAAAACAGCAAGTGGGAAAATATGGGTTTTGAAAAACTGAGTTTTACTTAAGGGGCAGAACAGAAAAAGAAGAAAGTGGACAGACAAGACATCAGAGATAAGTGGAAAAATAAATTCAAAACAACAGGGAATGACAAACCGGGAGAACTATCACAATCTGTTATTTGACTAGCAAATGTTAACTGGCACCATACCATGTATTCAACTGGTTAGGACTGGGTTATATTTAAGTATGGGTGTATGGGATTATTCAGTAATTATTAGTTGTTTGCACTACTTGTCACAAGAGTTGATTGTGTTAACCTTTTTTAACCCACAGTGTAAATGTTTTTTTTCATATCATTCTACTCAAGATGGACTACCAACCTGCTTTACTTCACACATAGTTGAGAACGGTGTGTATTAACACTTAAGAAATGCCACACAATGCATAAAAAGCTAGCGCAAACAGGGGGCAACTGGGGGAGCGAGTGCTTCATTCTCGCCTCAAGAGCCATGTTGGCACAATCATTCGTTCTTCTACACCTCGCGTTATTTTTAAAGGAGCGTTTAATGTCGCGACCGCTCTTCGCAGGCTCCAGACAAGGAGTCATTCGCTTACACGTGGAGGGGGGTACATGTCCGACGTTACTCACTGCAAGAGGTGGAGGGAGAGTGGGGACGAGGAGGAATGTCTGACCACCACCTCTATTACCTTAGCAACGGGTGAGCTCCCTTGTGGGTGGGAGAGACACGGAAGGTGGGGGTCCACTTTGGACCTAGGAAGGGGGGGGGGGAAACAAGGCTTCTGAAGTGTGCGCATCTGGAGAACAGCACGAGCCTTCCCCTCCCTCGCAGCTCGCCTCTCCACCCCCGTCCCGGCGCCTGGGGACACTCGCTCTGCGGCGGAACCGTGCTACTCACAGCGCTCGACGAGGCCGCTGCCCCCACGCTCCTCCTCGCACAGCCTACAGCGCCAGGAGCGCTGCCAAAAGGCTTCCTCCCTGCAACAAGGCGCTGCGGATTTCAGTTCCGCCTTCAGAGCCCGCTCCTCCTTTGCAGCAACGCGGTGAGAGGGCTACGCAGGGCTTCTCCCATCCCACCCACTTCCTTCTCCCCACCCCCCACAAATACGGGACTGGGCACCCGCCCCCCTCTCGAAAGCTGCTCGATCATTGCCTGCCTGCCTGCCTGTAGTGCCTTCATTTCAAGCGGGCTCAGGGGTTGAAAGGCGGCGGTCGTGTGCACAGCGCGCACGGATTCGGAATCGGCCTGGATGAACGCGGCGGGGCTGACTCAACAAATGCACTGCAGGGATGCGCAGGTTCTCCAGCGAGACTGGCGGGATTTCCACCGCCCCCTCCATTATCTCTACGCAGACTTTTCCCTGCCTCTTTCCACAAAGCCCCGTATTTCCTTTCCTCCCGGTGGACATCCCTTTTTGCAACTCGGTTGTCAGACCCAAAGCAAAATAATTAAGACGCCATCGGCAGAACCGCGGCTATCTTTTTATGAGACATCAATTAGGGATAAAGGGGCAGTTTTGTTCCAAGGGATGCTGCGGTGCGACAATACTTCGATGCGTGTCTTGTTACGTAGTAAGAGGTAACCCGTTTGCGATCAGGCTGGCCGCCACACAACCTCCCGCAGCCCATATAATCCTAACAGAGACCGTTTTCCCAACGGAGTTGCTATAGGCTATGCTGTGCTCCGTCTTCACCCGCCTTGCATTAACATACGTCCTTCTCTACCACACACATCTGTTGCAGTCCGCAGACCTTAAGCCACCAGCAGATACGTTCATCAAATACTGTACTCTATTTTAAGAACATCTTAAAAGCATCTTTCCGAAAGCGCACAGGTTCCTCTGACATCTACCAGTATAGCATCCCGCCCGGAACGGGCGCTCGTTTTTCATTCAGTATTTGTACAGCTACGCGCACGAGGACAGCTACAAACAAATCTCTCGTGTGAATTACCGTTTTCACAAGCACCCACAACTCCTCAGAGTAACTGCAATTTATAGAACAAACTAAGGAATCGCGAGGTTCATGGGCGTTCACTTTTCTTGATCCCATTCAGTGCTTCAGCGGCAAAACTCATTTCTCGAACCAGCTCACAGGGCACCAGTTTGAGAAAGGATGGCGTATATCTTTCTAGCCTAAAACAGTATCGCCCGCCCCGCATAAAAGCAGCTGGGGGTGGTGTCAATTTCCAGCCAGCTGAGCTGGAAAAAGTTAAACCCTTCCCTGAGCATTCCTTAACTCCCAATCTCAGGCTCCTAGTTTTGCTTTTTAGTTAAAAAAAACCTTTCAAGCGAACTGCTGGTGTCTCCTGTCCAATTTACCCCTCACTCCGCCCTGCACTTGCAGCCATACAACCTCAAGGACGTGCGCTTTTAAAGACTTGTACATAAACTTTGCGCGCTGGGCTCAAATGCTCGCGCACCTAAAAAGACGCGTGTATGGTTAATCTCTGTGGCGTTGAGAGCTATTTCAGCTCATGGCTGAAATAAAATTTAAATTCAAGTCACTCGCTTGTGCTAGAAGAGGCACAACCCGAACGCACGTCGGCGTGGGGGGAAATCATTTCTATTGAGCTTACTTTTGAGTCACTGCGTAACTGTTTAGAATAGCGCTGTAAAATCAGCGGTTGAACCAATTAAAGCCAAGTTCATGTCTTAAGATGATCGCCGACTACTACGCAACAGCTTATTTCTATTCGAAACTTGAACTGAGACGACGAAATGCTGCTCCACGGAACTTTCGCTGTTGCTTTATTCGGGCAAAATGCAACCTCTCTGCTTGTTTGTGCTCATCAATTCCTGCAAAGACACTATCCCTTTCTTATCGTCCCAGTTCGGCACAGAAACAGTCGAACCTCGACTTTCCCCTGCTTTGAATACGCGTCTCTCCCCTCCAACCCACTCGCGCGAGTCCCGCCCTCCATTCATTCGCTCACTGACAATATCCGCCCCCCTGATTTCCATGCGCGCCACCAAACCGAGCAGAACGTCCACAACCCCAGCATTACGCCCTCGTTTAGGAGGCGGCTGAAGGCGGAGGGATGGATCCTCCTTTGGACCAAAATACATCCGAGGGCGCGTCGTAAGCGGGGCGGCTCTTATGACGTTATGCGGCCCTCAACCAATCAGAAGCCGTGGAACGAGAGGCTGCTTGGGTTTGAATTTGGTGGCTCGCTGAAGCTAGCGAGCGAGCGTGGAGGCGGCGGCGGCGGCGACGCCCGAAGAAGCGGCGCGGGCTGCTGATCAGCAAGGAGGGTCCCTAATGCCCGGGTGAGTATCTCCATTTACGCCTACTAGGGTATCTAGCTCGGTTCAGCTGAAAGAGGGTCCCGATCAGCTCGCTGCATTAGCGAGGGTGGCCCATGGCTGCTTACACTTTCCGGCGGAGTTTTGCGCTCTTGTTCTTGCCTTTCTTTTTGCAGCGCAGCCGCATAGGAGGGTCGCTGCTTATTAGCCGCGCGACTTTATTCCATTCGTTCGCCCAGGTCCCTGCAGGGACTTTATAGTACCGTATCGAAAGAAAGTTAAGATGGATCGGGAAGTTCTCCGCCCCAAATTGCCTTTTAAGTCTGCACCCCTGCGCACGGTTGGATGGAATTTCTGGCTGGCTTCGAGTTAGACTGTTAGCATCCGGCGTATTTATTAGGGAGTGGGGGTACGCTCTTCTGCATACTTACCCGGTATGAAGTCCCGTTGAAATCAATGGGCACGGCTTCCAAGTTGACATTTATAGGACTACGCTGTGAAAGATAGCATTGGTGAATGCATATCTATGCCGCGCGGTTGGTGGCAACATTGAACCAATAGCATCCCATGGAAACGGCGTAAAGAGTTTTGTAAACGCCTTCAAGACTGGTCGCCTCCAGATGACCTGTTGCTGAGCATGCGTCCTGATTTGTTTGTCCTTTTGTGAGTCTTAGCCCTTGATATCATCTCTGCAAATTTGGTGCAGTGAAAATGACCCTGGGGCTGGAGCAACTCTCCTATGAAGAAAGCTTGCAACTATGGGGTTTGAGGTTTAGGAAAAATGTGAGAGGGATGTAGAAAACTATGCATGAAATGAGTCATGACTCTAGAACCCAGGGCCATGTGGTGAAGCTCAACAATGGAATATAGAGAGGAGACAAAAGGAAAAACTCCATAGTTAAGTTGTGGAATTCACGAATGTAATATGCAGCAATGGTCAGCAATCTGAATGACTTTTAAAGTGGTTTAGACAAATTTAATGGAAGGCAAATCTATTAACCAGGATGACTATGCACTAGCTCCAGTATCGGAGGTGGTATGCCTCTGTGTACCAGTTGCTGAGAATCACAAGTGGGACAGTGCTGTTGGGTTCATGTCCTGCTTTTGGGCTTCCCATAGGCATCTGCTTGGCCACCCTGAGAACAGGATACAGTCATACCTCAGGATAAATGCTTCAAGTTAAGTATTTTCGGGTTACGCTCTGCGGCGACCCGGAAGTAATGGAGCGTGTTACTTCTGGGTTTCGGCGCAGACAGTCAAAATAACATCACACGCATGCGCGGAAGTGGCAAAACTCGACGCGCGCACGCGGGTTGCGTTCGCTTCAGGATGTGAGCAGGGCTCCAGAACGGATCCCATTCGCATCCCGAGGTACCACTGGTGAGGCCCCTTAGGTTATCATGATAGTTACCCCACACTTACCAGAGCCATTTCCCATTACGTTTCTTACAGCATAAAGTCTGGTTTTGAAGAGATAGAGCACCACTGTTCTTATTTATAGCAATGCATTCACTTTATTGAGAGTAGTTTATGATAGTGAGAGAAAGCGCTGGCAGACTAGAAGCAACCTCCCACGTATATTATGGGGATTTTTTGTGTGGATTAGCATCTATTTCATTATTTTCTAAGGTGCTACAAGACTCTAGAATCCATTAACATTCAATTGGCTGTATTTATGAGACCTAACATGGTTATTATCTTGTGCTGTATGGGAACATTTGGAGTAGCAAAGTGGAATACAAAGGACTTCCTCTCAACAAATGGAGTTTACCAGACCTTATTCCTCTAACTAACTGCTGTTGGCATTGACAGAGTAATTATTGTATAGCGTGAGTGAAACCTAATGCATATGAATATGCTAACTGAAAAATGACGATGTGAGCAAGCACCAAGTCATGTCTTCTAGATCATTATTAACAGTAAAGAAAGAACTAAGTTCTTAAACTAGATCTTATGTCAGTCTAGAAAATACATATTCTGAACCTATGCACATTGAAATTTCTCTATGTGGTAGGAGAGTTTCTTTGGACTATGAGTGTTTGTAGTGTGTTTTGAATCATTTTGTTTCTTCAGGAGTTAAACTTGCAGATATTATTTTCTGTTAAGTTTGTGAGTCTTTCATAGCCTCATCCTCCCTCCACACAAGAGTATTTGCACTCTTCACACATTAAGTTGAGAAACTCGTTTCGGTAGAATTCTACTATATCTAAAATAGTTGCATGGGATCTGTGGTGGCCAGCTGGACAATTGGAGCAAACAAAGCAGCCTATTTTACTGGACTCCAGTAATTGGCAAACAAATGGCAGGAGAAAATTGAGTTACATCTAAGCTTGTGTAAACACTGCATATAAGCTTTGCAGATCAACTGCTGCTTGTAAAACCAAAAATAGCACTTACAAAATTACATTTTGGTGGGTTTAATTGTACATCCCAGTATCGTGGGACCCATAGAGCAGTGTGTCTTCTCACATGCACATTTTTTTGTCATTTGCATAAACCTCTTGTTGCATTTTCTTAAATTACTGCTTTAAAAATATAACCGGTCAGTTTACATTTTCGGCCAGTCAAATTATCAACTCTAGACCTAACCTAAATTCATTTGCTTGCTTGGTTTAGCAGCACAATTATATGCATGTTTACTCAGAAGAGAAACTTACCTCATTCAGAGAAGTTTACTCCCAGGTATAGGAGTGCAGGTGTTGTTGTTTAATCTGCTTTTATTTTCTTCCACCAGCAGAAGAAACTGGATTTACTTTATATGACAAATCTTCCCCAGACACCATAACTGCCTTTCGTAATGTCTACTACTGTTCAAGAAGATGTCTGCAATCACGTGAAGGTAGTGGTCCGTGTTCGTCCAGAAAGTCAGAAAGAGAGAGATGGAAACTTCAGGAAAGTGCTCCAAGTTGTTGATAAGCATATGTTGGTCTTTGATCCCAAAGTGGAGGAAGTCAGTTTCTTTCATGGGAAAAAAGTTCCATGCCGTGATCTTAACAAGAGGCAAAACAAGGACCTCAAATTTGTATTTGATGCTGTATTTGACGAAGATTCTTCTCAGCTGGAGGTCTTTGAAGACACTACCCTGACCATGCTGGATGGCTTTTTAAATGGATATAATTGCACAGGTAACTTTCTGCTGTATTTCTCCCTTTGTTAGCTATGGAGGTAATCCTGTATCAGTAGTCAGTTCTAATTTGAGCTGGGGCAGGGGTGTCCTTCTGCCCCCTATTCTATTTATAAGCTTTAAAACTTTGTTGTTGCTATTTTCCAAGCTGTTGGGGATGTTTGGTTTCTTGTCCTTTGCCTCACATGTAGTAACTCTCTCTTCCTGCAAATGATAGCCAAAACCCCCTGCATCCCATTTGCAAAAAAAATAGATATTGCAGTAGTGAAGAGCATAAGAATAGTTTTCCTCGCCATTACTTCCTGCTAGTTCTGATTCTAACGGTTACTTCTAGCTTTGGTACTGAGCAGTAGCAGTGTGTGTGGTGGAGCAGACCAACATTGGTGGCGCTGCTGCTTACCAGAACAGTCACAATGTTGGGAGAGGGGTTCATGGTTGCACCAGTGGTACCACTGCTGCCAATCCGGCACGCCTGTCAGTGCAAGTATACAGTCCTCCCAGCCCCATTCAGATAAGCAGCAGTAGAGCCATGATCAGAAGGCAGCTCTGTTGATCCTCTCTGTCACACTGCTGGTTCTGAGCAGTTGCTAGCTATCACAGTGGTACAGCGTTCTGCATCCATATTTCACTTGCACCTTCTCACAAGTTGAATGATAAGTTGATCGCCTTGGTTGAAGGGCTGCCATGTTTCTTCCTCTTTCCTCATTCTCCCTCCCCCCCCAAAATGAGCAAATATATATATCAGGTGAAGCCAGATTCTCCTGTTTTCAAATGTTGAGCTACTTAATGGATTCACTAATTAAACGTGCCCCTTCCTACACCCAATCTTGCTGTTTGTATCTCACACCTTCCTCCAAAGAAGCCCGTGGCAGCAAAGGTATCAACCCTAACGCAATCAAACTTCTAAAAACTGTGTAAAACAGCCTTCTGAAAACGGCTGAAAATTGCTAAAAGCAATCGCCTGCTTTCAATTTAGTGCTTGCTTATGGCGCAACTGGAGCTGGGAAGACTCATACGATGCTGGGCTCGCAGGAAGACCCTGGAGTGATGTACCGGACCATGTTGGAGCTCTACAATGCCATAGAGCGGATGAAAGAGGAGAAGCATTGCGCTATTGCCGTTTCTTACCTTGAGGTAAGCAGGCGGAATAATTTTGCACAATAACAGTTGTTTTTGTATAAGGAATAGGGTGAAAGGGACCCAAACCAGCTTAGTCAGAGGCTGAGAAAACATTGGCTATCTTCCAGCCAAACATTCTGTCTTCCAGCCAGTGTGAGAGATGTTCTCCTACAGTGCAGTCCCATGTTTCTGAGGAGTACACCCATGGCATCACAGCACCAGAGGAGCCAGTAGAATTGGAAAGAAAGTGTTTTGAATTTCTCCCTGACCTGATATTGGAGGATTTAAAACTGCTCCCCCGCTCTGATCTCAGGGAGCTTCTTGGGATTCAAGAAATGAAACAAACAAGCAAAACAACCAAGGGCTTTGCTCCCAGCTGCCAGAGAACAGAATACAACATAACTTCCCAGTAGCCAAGCCTAGGATTAGGTCTCATGACAGCATGCACAATTGAGAGTTTTCTGCTTGTCTAGTTTCAAATGTATTGGTGCTTTCCTGTCAAATTGCCACTATGCCTCCTTTGCGCTGGAAAGTTAAAACGGCAATTTGGATATTTGGAAAGAAAATTAGGACTCTTAACTGAGTTTAAAACTTAGGGATAAAACGTATCTGGAAGCGCATGCTATCTCGTGTAGGTGCATTTTTCATCTTCTAAAATGGGACTACACCTACCAAATCCAGATACCTTCTGTATGATTAGCTGCTTACATTTGTGTATCTTGATATCTGCCTTTTCCAATGCCTTTCCCTCCCAAGGTCTACAATGAGAAGATACATGATTTGCTTGTAAGTTCAGGACCACTGGCTGTTCGAGAAGATCCTCAAAAAGGAGTGCTGGTCCATGGGTTAACAATGCATCAGGTTTGCACGTATTTATATTATCTACGTTATTCATTAATTGCTTATTTATTTATTTATTTGCCTGCTTGCAGTATTTACAGCTAGTTCTATAACACAATTCTCAGAGTAGCTCACAAAGCAACTGAAATTCTATAACAAATTCTCAAAGCAGTTTTTGAGTCTTTAAGGCTTCACCTAAGAGGAAAATCTTAAGTTTGAGGTACCTAGTTTGTCACCTAAGTTGTTTTTCTTTAAGTTGCCAGAAAGTTGGCAGACAGGGAACGTGGGAAATATTTGCATTAAATCTCCCAATATTGTAAGGCTTTGTGTGAGTTAGAAGGTTATTTGTTTTGTTTTTACTTTCACAATATTCTGATTGATTCTCCCTGTTGACCAAATTTGTCTTGTCCACATCATGTTAAACCATGGTTTAGTATTACATGCATGCCAGAGTTATGACGTTTGACCCAATAGATAAGCGTGCCTGTCTGCAGCTTCATTTCCAAAATTCCATTTTCCCCCCTAAATCGGTTTTAACTGGGATACCTTGAAAAGTTTTCAGAGTCATTTCAACCCACTACGGGCACTATTCTATCAAAAGAAGCAGAACAGATCAGACTGCCCTCCCAAGCCATGATTCATATACTATGGGCAAATCAAGTCCTTTACATGAATGCTATCTGTTCAGTCCTATCCATCTTGATGTGAAGATTTACAAGCTTTATTTCTGGGAAGAAAACACAGTGCAAAACCATTACTTTATCAAGACACTTGAAATACTAGCAGGCCTCTCTAAGTGACCTGTTTGCGAAGGCAGTTGCTATGAAACAACTGTTTAAATCAAACGTGGTAGCAATCTTCAACCCCTTTATCTCAAAGTTGCGCTGTCAAAATTGAAACAGTTCTTTTGAGTAAAGTGGCTTGGGGGCTGAAGCGTTTGATCAAACACAAAAACCTCTTCATCACAGTTGTATCCTAACTCATATTCTTAATTTTTTATATCTGCTACACATGCACCTAATTTCTCCCAATCTGTCCTCTCATTTCTGCCTTCTCATTTCTCCACTTTCCCCTCTTCCTCTTATTTCTCTTTCTGCTATTGTCACCCATAGTGCACCTTGGCTTCTTCGGTCAAGGCTTGGAGGGAAGCTGGCAGCTGGGGGAGAGCCTGCTTCCAGGCAGTCTTCTACCTATGCCATTGTTTCCATTTGTACAGCTATCAAAGGGCCAAAAATATCAGAAGCTGACGGGGGTGGTACTACTACTGTTTAATGCCTTTAATGCAGCAGCAGCAAACTAAACAGTGAAGCGATATGGTCCCTGCAGAATTAGCTGACGGCCTGTAAAAAGAAAAGTGGGGGGGGGGGGACTATTAGAATATTCTATCCCCCAACCCTAAAAGTGTATCAGCATGAAGCTGCTGAGCTTGGGGACCAGCTGGGTAGTCCTCTTTTTGCTAAGCCCTGAAGCTTGGCAGTCTACAACGGCCTTGCTCATGTGGCTCTAAATTGGAATAACACGGTGCAGGGGCGACTGTATTTTTGCCTCCCTGTGGTGTATGGGAGAATTTTGGAGGGAATTGGGGCCACGGATGTGTGCACTTCGTGACCCTCAACGTATCCCCAGCTCAGGTTCCCTGCGCCCCCCTCCATTCACCCAGTCCAGGATTATTTTCATCGGTTTGGGTTAGGGTTGTAAAGTGGCTGGCCCAAACAAGGATAATGGAGTCATGTTTGCCTCCACCTTCCCAGCTTGTACTTCAGCCTACTGGATAATTTTCTCTTCACATCAGATATTTGAAGGCTTTCTGGGAAGGCTGAACATGGAAGCAGACTGCCAAGAAAGCAAACCAAGATAGCCCTTGGGGATAATTGTGTGAGGACTATTCCCTATAACAAACATTGCCATTAATGGTCCGAGTCCATTTTCATAGGACTGCTCCTGTATAAATATTCAGTTGCTTCTGAAACAAATAGGGTATAACCACATTTTTCTATCTGTCAATAGAGTTATTGGATATTGTATCTTATTTTTTAAATTTTGATGAATGTGTAAGTCTTACTATGAGATCTACTTATTCAATGAATTGATTTGGGTTTATTTAATTCTGTGTTTGTGAATTCCTTTCCCTTCCTAACGGCTTTAAGATGAACTTTGCAGTGGCATCACCACCTACTCAAAGAATGTGCCTAGCACAACCTGACGGCTAGCGGTTTTGGAATAAGTAAAATGATGCCTTTTAGCTGACCCAACTTCTCGAGGCAACACTAGGCACAAGTTAATCTTGAACATAATCTTCTTTGGGCAGGTGCTGAAGCTTATGCTCACCTACAGAAGCTGGTTTGATAAAAGGTATCTTCTTACCTGCTTTGTGTGTGTCATCCTCTGGGACCAAGATGGCAACAAAAGCCAAAGCTACGATGTTAACATTATGACTGAAATCCCATGACAATGAAACTCCCAGATTAAAATCTAGCAAAAAGATTTACTAGTTTCATTTGACTATTTCCCCCCCTCCACCTTTTGTAGCCGAAGTCTGCCATGGAGATCTTGCAAATATTGGACTATGGAAACAAAAACAGAACACAGCATCCCACTGATGTGAATGCCTCCTCATCTCGGTCCCATGCTGTCTTTCAGGTAAGATGATACAGCAGATAAGGTGTCTGAGGATCTTAGATAACCTTTGAAGCTTTGTTTAAAAAGAGAGAGAGAAAGAATCCTTGGCCTATGGCACACCAGCTATAATAGTTTTGGTCTTGGGAAGAGAGATCCAGCTCGCACTCTTGTCTGCATTAAATCCTTTGTGCTAAATAGCATTCAGGAGGGGAGCTCTCATGGTCTCTGCCGTCACTCAACTTCAGATGAGGAATCTATTGAGGTGTCATAGCTGCTTGTGAGAAATAAATGTACTTCACGCTCATATAAATGGCAATTTTTTTCATGTGTAACTGCTTCTGTGCATTTATTTATTTTTATACATAAATATATATCAAAAAGTGATTCCCACTAAAGCAGCTGACTTAGTATATAGCAGACTGAGCCTGTGCTGAGTTCAGTGGTGCTTGCTCCCAGGGAGATGTGGCTGGGATTGCAAACCAAAAGTATAATCCTATGCACAGTTGCTGGAGAGTTAAGTCTTGCTGAGTTTAGGTAAACTTATTTTTGAGTAAACATGTTAAGATCCCAAAGAGAGTGTTGTTGGAATAGCAAGCTTTAAGATTGGTGGTTTCATTGTGTACGTAGCTGCCAAGGTCTCCCTTTTTTTAAGGGAAATTCCCTTATTCCGAATAGGATTCCTCGCAAGAAAAGCGAAAAGTTGACAGCTGTGATTGTGTATCCTTTATTGCATTGTTTAAACGGCACTTTGAGAATTGCGGGTGGAAAGTGGGATGAAAATGTTGGGAATATAAAATAAACAATCCTTTCTGAAGTGTGTTAATCCAAACCTGGGTCTCCTGCTGTTTTTTAGACTACAGTTCCCATCATTCCTGACTGCTAGCTAGGGATGATGGGAGTTGTAGTCCAAAAACAACTATTGACCTAAGTTTGGGAAACACTGTGTTCATCTAAGGAGGAGCATCTAATCTTCATTTTTAATTTCCTTGTCCGATTCAATTTTGCACTCTCTGCATGACTGCCAGAAAGTCTGTATTACAAAAAGCTTAGGTTTGTGCATGTTTCCTCCCCTGCATTGCCCAACTTGTAGGCATGGAAGGGTGATTGTTTTATCTGGATTCTTTCCTCATTTCCTTGTTCTGTACTCCTCTGTTTCAGATCTATTTGAGACAACAAGACAGGACAGCATGTATCAATCAAAATGTCCGTATTGCCAAAATGTGCCTCATTGACTTGGCAGGCTCAGAACGTGCCAGCGCCACAAAGACCAAGGGAGCGCGTTTTAGAGAAGGGGCAAATATTAATCGCTCACTGCTAGCCCTTGGCAATATCATTAATGCTCTGGCAGACCCAAAAGTAGGTACCCATTTTCTTCTTACCACCTCTCCCACCTGGGATTGTGTTGCATAAGAAGGTTAATGTTCTATATTATTTCCCCCCCCCCCAATGGCCTAGTATGTTTGTGTTTTTAAATGTAAGTTGCTTGGATACCTTTTAGGTCACAAGTGACTCATGAATCTCAAAAAGAATAGTGGCATGGTAGGCATGCAAGAAAATTGAGCAGGGATCAGCAAACCTTTTCAGCACTTTTTCAGTCCACTGTCCCTCAGACCTTGTGGGGGGCCGGACTATATTTGGGGGGAGGGGGAGAATAAATTCCTATGCCCCACAAATAACCCAGAGATGTATTTTAAATAAAAGGACACATTCTGCTCATGTAAAAACATGCTGCTGATTCCCGGACTGTCCGTGGGCCGGATTGAGAAGGCAGTTGGGCCAGATCCGGTCCCCAGGCCTTCGTTTTTTCCTACCCATGAAAGAGTGTATGTGAAGCAGTTTGGAATGTGCTATAAAGTACCGTATTGGCCTGAATATAAGCAGCACTTTCCCCCCAAATTCCAACCGTGAAAAGTTAAAGCACAGCTTACATTTGCAACCTTACGGTATGCAGCCAGGAGTGTGGCAAAGCAGTGCCCGCCCTGCACGTAGTCCCCCATCCTCTCCCCCAAGGCCAGGAAGGGAGAAAGAGCAAGAAAGGGGAAGGGCTGTCAGAAACACAGCGTGGCTCTCTCTCTCCCTCCCCCCCCCCCCCAGGAGCAGCAAGGAAGGGAGCAGCTTATATTCAGATATTTTTTCTCCGCCCCCCTCCAATTTTAAAGGTGTGGCTTATATTCAGGCCAATAGGGTAGTTGTTCCCAAACATTTTGGTATGGTGGCCCAACAATTCAAAATTCACTTAGTACAGTGACCACTTTGCTGCTGCTAGCCGTTCCAGCTGATTCTCTTGGTGTTTGGAGCAGGAAGCCTAGGTCAGCAGGGACTTCCATGCAGGATTTGCCCTGGTGAAAGTAGAGATGAATAGCAGTAGCAGGTTGAGCAAAGCCCATCAAATCACTTATAGCACTTAAAAGAAGTAACTAAATATAGGATGTGGGTTGAATCTACTACAGGTTTCCCTTTGTGTTCCCCTCTTTCGGTTCCTCTAGAAATCTATAAACAGTGCTTGGCATACACTGAACTTCAGGATTTATTCTGCTGGGAACACAGAACTGCTGCTGCTGAATTTGGGAGGGAATCTGGGTTTTCACTAGACTGCTGACTCCTTGTATGTACAGGGATCTGCGGGTGGAGAGAATGTAGCACCCATCCTTTCTTTGCAAGAATTGGAGAATCTAAATTGCTGGTACCCTGTCTCATATAGGAGGACATTTTAAGGGATTGGCTAGGTATTGCAAGAGGCTTTCTAGTGGGGGGGAAATTCAAGGTTTTTATCTCCTGTCATTTATGTGCATTGTGAAACAGCTGTTCATAGTAAGTCATGGTCTGATGCTAAAGTAATCTCAGCACTCCATTAAACACTCACCCTCTTCTGTGTGGGGTTGTGTGTGTTTTTTTGTTCCTCCAGAAGAAGAACCAGCACATTCCTTATCGGAACAGCAAGCTTACTCGTTTACTGAAGGATTCTCTAGGAGGAAATTGTCGCACGATAATTATAGCTGCTGTTAGTCCTTCTTCTCTGTTCTATGATGACACATATAACACTCTTAAATATGCCAATCGAGCCAAGGACATCAAATCCTCTGTAAGTAAACTTCTTTTTAAGTTCTGCGCTGTTGCTTTCAAATTATAAAATGATGTCTGTTTGTTCTGATTGAGTGGATAATTGCAACAGGGGAAAGATATTGCCCTCTCTTTTTTGCTTCATATTTTTAAATATTGTGGCAATCTTACTGAGCACTTTTTCTTTTTACGCAAGCAGTGTCACAACTGCCTTCTTTGCTGCTTGTACTTTCTTATCTACCCTTCTCTCTGTTTCATGGCATTATTTCAAAGGAGAAAACAATTCCTTGATACACTTAACCTACATCCACTTTCCCTTCTCCCTTCCGTATTTTCCTTCTTCATCTGCTTCTCCTCAATGCATATCTTAGGCCTTTCTCAAGAGTATCCTTACATAAAGAAGATCCTGGGAGCGGGTGCAGTTACTGGGTGTTGTAATCTGCAGAAAGGAGTGGGGAATTCCCCCCTGGGATGAGCACAGCTTTGGATCCTGCCCATTGGGTTGAAACTCAACTAAAGCAAGCAAAGTTTATCTGGCACTGGCGAAAAACGGCAGGTGGTGATTGCCACCAATTCATTCTCCTCTCTGGCCCTGGGGAAAGCTGTTCTGGAGGGTTGGGGAAAACTCCAGAACCATGTGGGAGCAGCAGGAGGAAAGAGTAATTGGTGATAATTGTGGAGTGGAAGTCTGAATCCAAGCCATGACTTTTATTATTTTTAGGCATGTTTGGATCCATCCCATTACCTTTTTGTTACCTTTATTTAATCAGGGGGTTTTGTGACTGATGTTCGTGTTGCTTGATACGATGTTCACATGGCATGTTTTCCTTAGCAAAGGAAGAATATGCTGTCTTCTGATGTTTATGAAGCTGAACTTTGTCTTCTCTTCACAGCTGAAGAGCAATGTAGTAAGCTTGGATAGTCATATAAGCCAATACGTTAAGATTTGTGAAGAACAAAAGAAAGAGGTATGTCAGTTACTAGAATAGTTAATGTTGCTTTAGTTACACATAAAGGATAACAGTATAATTAAAAGGGAACCAGGCAGAGGGCCTTCTCGGTAGTGGCGCCTTCCCTGTGGAACACCCTCCCACCAGATGTCAAAGAGAACAACAACTACCAGGCTTTTAGAAGACATCTGAAGGCAGCCCTGTTTCGGGAAGCTTTTAATGTTTGATGTATTATAGTATTTTAATATTCTTTTGGAAGCCGCCCAGAGTGGCCGGGGAAGCCCAGCCAGATGGGCGGGGTATAAATAATAAATTATTATTATTATTATTATTATAAAAGAAGGCATTAATTGTTGTGCACCCAGATTTCCAGAAAACCTGGTGTTTGTGTCGTATTAGGTGTAATGTAGATCATTAGTATGGCTTTAAAAATTGGTTTTGAAAAAGAAACTCATGGAATACTAAAAATGAGATACAAACCGCACATGCACCCATTTCTTTCAAATACACTATTATCCTGTTTCAGATCATCATGCTGAAAGAGAAACTACGAGTCCTTGAGTTGGAAAAAACATCTTCTCCTGACAGACATGCCACAGATCAACAACAGGTGGAAATTTCAAGGTAAAAAATAAATAAATGCTTGCTTATTGTGTTGTCTTGTACAAAGTTATGACATGATCCACAACTGCTTGTGTGTATAAGATGATAAAATACTTCTAATACCTTCTCTCTTGTCAGCCTTAGTTGGTCAATGGTACGCTGTCAGCCAATGTACCATAATGCACCTGGTCACTCCTTACAACAGAGAGGCTCGTCCATACTTTCATATTGTTATCCAGTGGCCTCCTCCCTTGCCAAAATTTAATGTACAAGCTCCTGGGGATCTATAGGGAAGTCGAGATTAACACCTGGTCAATAAGCAAACTCCCATATATGGCCACTCCCATGCACAAAGGAGGGAACATTTGAATATCTTATTGTGCCTATAAAACAGCCATTGTTCTTTTCTTGATGGTATTGCCTTTAATGTTATCCTGGGATAAGGATTCAACACCTGAAAATGCAGGTTTGAAAATGCAGGTTCCTACTTTTAAGGGTACCTGTCCTTAAACTTGAATGCTCAGGTCCCAGATGTAGCCAGATATGCCTTTGCCCAGCTTAAGTTGGTGCACTTGTTCCTGGAGACTGAAGATCTGGCCGTGGTAGCACGTGTCATAGTTACATCATGGAATCGGAGAATTGTAGAGTTGGAAATGACCACAAGGGCCATCTAGTCCAACCCTCTGCAATGCAGGAGTAATTTGCCAAACTTGGTGCTTGAACCCACAACCCATGTCAGGACTGTACTCCCCAGAATTATGTTTAGTCAGAACCAGGGATAGGACCTTCTCAGTTGCTGCACGCAAGCTCTGGAACCCCCTTTCAAGAAACATTCATCTTACCTCCTTGTTACTGGTTTATTTTATTCGCCATGCTGTTGAATTTCCTTTTTTAGAAAGGCTCTTCAAGTGTGTTTTTAAGCTGGGGCAAAATTTGTTAAATTTTGTGCTGGAAATGGTTTTCAATGGATACTTTCATTTTTACTATGCTATTTTTACCATTTCCCTTTTTGTATTTTTTAAGCATTTGTATTATAACTTTTTTATATTGTTTTAGCTGTCTTGGGCTCTCTTAGTAAAATGGGCAATATAAATATTTTCAATAAATAAATATAACTGCTGTTTACAGCTATATTTTCTGTCTAAGCTCTAGAAATTCAGTTAGGCATAAGGAGAAAAATTATGCCCAGTAAAATCTCTCTTTTGAAGTTTTAACGCTGCCTGGTGCTGTGAAATAACCTAATACCGACAGGGGCAGTGGAAGGGTTAAAAGTGCAGCTGTGTAACTTGTGCATGTTTGAGACAGTGGGTCCTTATCCAATCTGGCAAAATCAGGATTCCAGGAACTGGGAAGCAAGCACTAGCCACTGAGAATGTGGGAATATATTCCATGTAACATCAAGATAATCACGAGAATTTGAGCCCCTAGATCTCGTGTTAAGAGCAAATTATCGGCAGCTCCGTTTTGGTTCGAAATACCATTTATTTCAAAAACAGGAATTCAAAAATACTATTACAGGGGTGTGTTTAAAAAAAGAATCTTCTGTTAAGAGAGAATTGCTGCCTACTTAGTTAAAAATAATCTGGAAAATTATGTTTTGCACAACTGTGTATATAGCAAGACAACTTTTTAATGACCTTTTTCTGTATAATAAACACATTAAGCAATTTTACTCTCTTAAATCTCTGACATAAACTAAAGCTGCTATAACTCCATATATAGACAAATATCCCCAGGGAAGAATCATAGGTGCTAATCACCGTTTGTTACATTACAGATTTTTACAGTCGAACTTTCCCATGGTAACCCGCATTTTAATGCTCCAATTAAGAGGTTTTTAAGCTACTAAAAGCTGTCAAAAAAGGCACACCTGTTGAAACACGTGAAATCTAAGTTCTAATAATTTACAGCTGTATTGACATCCTGAATTTATAAGATAAAACATTTTTATGCTTGGAGACAGAGCCATTTTAGATCCTTTAGAGCAGCAGCTATCGCAGGGGTCCCTTCCAACTCTACAATTCTATTATTCTTGCGGGGGGGCAACCTACAAGAAAACTATGCAGATGGCGCTACTGCAGGCTCAGTCCACCTACCTGCCCACCAGCTGATGACCAATGTTTCAGGAGACAGCTTTCCAGAAAATCTCTAGCATTGCTTTGTCAATACAGCATTTCCCCTTTTGCCTATTCCTTTTTTTCACATGCGCTAAAGTCAGTGTTCTGCACACTGGCGCTCCTTTTTGACCAGGTGCTGCTTAGTAAGCCACTTGAAAACTTACTGTATCTAAAGGTAAAGGGACCCCTGACCGTTCATGGACGACACTGGGGTTGTGGCGCTCATCTCGCTTTACTGGCCGAGGGAGCTGGCTTACAGCTTCCGAGTCATGTGGCCAGCATGACTAAGCCACTTCTGGCGAAACCAGAGCAGCGCATGAAAACGCAGTTTACCTTCCCGCTTGAGCAGTACCTATTTATCTACTTGCCCTTTGACGTACTTTCGAACTTCTAGGTGGGCAGGAGCAGGGACTGAGCAATGGGAGCTCACCCCATCGCAGGGATTTGAACCGCTGACCTTCTGATCAGCAAGCCCTAGGCTCTGTGGTTTAACTCACAGCACCACCCACATCCCTTTTTTACTATATCAAACTTGGTAGCAAGTAAAGAGAGGTGGTCCCGTCTGAGCTCCTTGGTTAAGCTGTCGAATGGCATGCATTGCTGATTGTTGCTTCAGATCGTAAAGGCATGGCGAGTGTTTAAGCAGATATCTCCTGGCTCCTGTCCTTGAGATTAATGTCTGAATGAAAAGCACACTGCTACGTGAGGACTTTCACTGCTGGTGTACCATCGTGGCATTCTGGACCTTAATGGGACCTGACATGGTCCCCCACAGTGCAAAGCCTAGACCAAAACAAAGGGGTTTGTGCTAGTCAATCCAATAACGTAGCCTTTTGATACACTTACATGAGAGAATATGGGAACTTGGGGGTTTCATTCAGATCTGGGGATTATTTTATTAGTTTCCCTGATTATAATGCATTTCTGTCCTGGATTCCAACCTTCTTTTTACCTGTTGGGTTATGGAAATGTGGCTTTTTGATCAAAATTGCACGAAATGTTTAAATGACAAGAAAGAACAGGTTATTTGAGACACTGCCTTGCCCCTTATATACTCAGTAGGTTGCTGCAAATATTACTGGACTTCCATATTCCATCAGCCTCAGCCAGCATTGTCCATGGTCAGGGATGATAGCAGCTATAGACCAGCAACATATTTTTTAAAAAAACTTTTTAATGTTTTTATTCTATGGTTTTATGTTTTGTGGTTTTATTCTGTAAACCACTTTGGTATTTTTATGATAAAGTACTGCATAAATTTAATAAATAATAAATAATTATCATCATAATCATTTTGTAAACAAAGAAGCATCTGAAGTACCACTCCTACTTTAACCTCTTTCGTTAAGCATAATTTTTTTTAATTGAAGCTGCTGTTTACTACAGTGTAACGCCCTGCCACGAAGCTGTGTTTTGTGTAACTTGGTCCTTTTCTATATAAATGTTTGGGGCAGGTTTAGAGAAATTTTGAAGTGCGTGTTCGCAAATCGAGAGGAAATCAGGCAAGAGTTTCTGAAGCTGGAACTGCGCCATAAAGAAAACATCCTGAAAACCCATTATCAAAAAAATTGCCATGAACAAATTGAAATGATGTGCGCTCCGGAGAGAATGGAGAGGGTAAGCTATTAGTATGACAGTTCTGCTGTCCTTTCTGCCATGTTTATGCCAAGCTTTTAGGGCTAATGAAAAGAACATGGTTCTGATCCTGTGTGTCTCCTTACTGCAGTTATCCAGGGCCTCTTGAAACGAATTACAAGGGTTAGATCTTTGGGGTGTTCACCTGAACCCTCTCCTATGGAAAGCATGCACGAGAGTGTTGCAAGGTTGCACTGGCAATACATGCGCCAGCAGTCATTTGAAGCAGCACTATGCACATTCATTTAGAGGAATGTGGAGCTACTTCACACAGCTATAAAGCATTCAGCCCCCAGCACACATATTAGCAGCACTAGCTGACACCATCTTTTCATGTGCTTTTGGTGTATGTGTGGGCTCGCGTGAATCCTCTTAACATGGTTTCTAATTAGAATTCACCTTGTCCTCCTGTCCAGGTCCCCCCGCCCTGTCCTACCACCTGTGCAGGAAATTTTCTTTGGGGATTCAAGTACAGAGGCTCATACCAAATTCTCAATCGGTCAGACTTGATTTAGTAAAGCATTCTCGAACAAAGTTCAAAGAGTCTACCAGAGCTTTATAAATAGGCGAGATGTACATCATCTTAGCTGCCTGGCCTCTAACTGAATCACCTTCTGCCACCCCAGCCCCTCACCATCTCTTCATCCAGCCACAGTCCTTGAAATACAACTTGTTCAACCCACTTTCACTGTATGTATTAGAACTCTTCTTGCACCTTGTATGGAGTTAGTTTTCACTTTAAACATTCACCTGTTACGTTCCTCCTTAACTGGTTCTTACCAGTTTTGTAGTCGGGTTACACTCCTGAGTACATAATAGGAATTCTACCTCACACTGTGTTGTTAAAGCTCTTTTATATGTCCTCTGACTTGTCTGCATACTTTTTCCTTGGTGCCCACTTCTCTTGTCAACTCTTTTTCCCCATTCCTTTGGCAATCTTGCTGCTCACATCTGCTGGCTCTTAGTTTACTTTTGGGGGGCTCTTTCCTCTCAGTGGGTCTCCCCAGCATTACTTTTTCTGCCCCTCAAGGTTTGCTGATCATAGCGTTCTTTCTCTACTCTTACTTTGCTTTCCGCCACTACACAAACTGAACCACCTCAGCTGTTACTCCATTTTGTGACTTTTCTTTAAGAACGACAGGAAAGAGGGCTTGGGCCTGAGCTGCCAGTTTTTATTCTGTGTGGTGTAAGGAGGAACTTTGTACTCCTGGCTCTGCATTTTACGGATAGGCTTTTTACTTCTGATTTTTTAATCATACATTGTTCATATATTGCCTCTCACATATAATGTGGCTCAAGTGGCTAATACTTAAATGTATAAAACTTCCCTCACATAGCAGTTTAACTGTAAGTGACAATCTTTGAAGTTCTGTTGCAAAACAATTTTGTGTGTTAGGTTTTCTTAGACATCTGCTTTCAATTGAGCATAGTGATAGCTGTCTGAAATGGAAGGTGATATAAATTTCTTCTGTTGAACTAAGCAGGAAATATTTTAAACGCTGAAATGCAGGGTACATATACTGGCAGCTTTTTCTTTTCTTTTTCTTTCTTGCTCTTAATAGTCAAAATCATGTCTTAAATTTGGGAGTTCAAAGAGCATTTGGGGGCCGCATTCTTCAGAAATCGCACTGGAAAAAATATTGGGTTCACATGCAGAACATTCAAGCACCCACCCCACTCCTTTGGGGTTCAGGCAAAAAAACCTAAATGAATTATTTGGACCAACTCTGTTACAGTGGTGCCTCGCAAGACGAAATTAATTCGTTCCGCAAGTTTTTTCTTCTTGCGAGTTTTTCGTCTTGCGATGCACGGTTTCCCATAGGAATGCATTGAAAATCAATTAATGCGCTCCTAGGGAAACCGACTTCAGACCAGGTCCGGGACAGTCTGTCCCCCGACCTCTTCTGAAGGCTGGGGGGGACAAGGGCTTTTCTTCCCACTCCACCCCAGCATTTTCATCAACCCCGGGACAGCGGAGGGCTTCTCCGCTGTCCGGGGCGATCTTAAAATGCTGGCGGGCGGCATTTTAAAATTGCCCCGGGACAGCGGAGGACTTCTCCGCTGTCCGGGGCAATTTAAAAGCCCCCGGGAAGGCAGGCAGGGGGCACAACGACCTTTGCCCCCCGCCAGCCTTCAGAAGAGGTCCTGGACCTCTACTGAAGGTTGGCGGGGGGCGAAAGTCTTTGTCCCCCCACCTGCCTTCAAAAGCTGTCCAGCCAAGGCTCGCGGATCTCTCCAGCAAGCAGCGGCAGCACTGCCGCTGCTTGCGGAGAGTTGCCGGCATGCCGAGCCTGCGCGCGCTGAGATCAGCGCGCCCAGGCTTCGCGGACCTCTCCGCGAGCAGCGGCAGCGCTGCCGCTGCTTGCGGAGAGTTGCCGGCATGCCGAGCCTGCGCGCGCTGAGATCAGCGCGCCCAGGCTTCGCGGACCTCTCCGCGAGCAGCGGCAGCGCGCTGCCGCTGCTGCGGAGAGTTGCCGGCATGCCGGAGCCTGCGCGCGCTGAGATCAGCGCGCCCAGGCTTCGCGGACCTCTCCGCGAGCAGCGGCAGCGCTGCCGCTGCTTGCGGAGAGTTGCCGGCATGCCGGAGCCTGCGCGCGCTGAGATCAGCGCGCCCAGGCTTCGCGGACCTCTCCTGCCTTCAAAGCCGTCCGGGATAGCGGGAAGCGCTTCCCTGCTATCCCGGACTGCTTTAAAATGCTGGCGGTGGGGAGCAAAGCCTTCGCCCCCGCCAGCCTTCCTGGACCTCTTCTGAAGGCCGGAGGGGGGAAGGCTTTGCTCCCCACCGCTAGCATTTAAAAGAGGTCCTCGGAGATTTCCCTATGGGCTTTCGTCTTGCGAAGCAAGCCCATAGGGAAATTGCTTTATGAGCGCCTCCAAAACGGAAAACCCTTTCGTCTAGCGGGTTTTCCGTCTTGCGAGGCGTTCTGCCTTGCGGGGCACCACTGTACTTATGATTTGGGAGAGTGTGGGCTGAACTAGCTGATACAGAGAGGGAACGGCTTGCAACAGCAGTCAGCTTTCCCTCTGGTAAAATCTTAAGTTTTTTAAAAAATATGTGTGTATTTATTTTTTGATAAAAAATATTTGCATGCCACGCTTTCACAAGTGGTTTACAACAAATATAATACAATTAAAACCACACAAAAATTAAAACAGATGGCATGACACTGGGCTTCGCTGATGACAACAGCCTGTGAACTCCAGCACAGTTGAGGAAACTGAATAATATGGCATCATGTGTTCTGTTTTGCAAAGTGTTACTGGAAGGACGAGGTGCTGGGCTGTTGCTTTGGTGGTATGTAGTTCGCCATAGTATCCGGTTCTGTCCTTTAGTTTGAAACTTAGGTTTGTTTTGTTACAGGCGACTGACAAGCACGACCACCGGCTTGCGTTACTTAAAACCCGGCGTTTGCAAATAGAGCAGAGGGAAGCGGAAGAGACTAAACGCTTAGAGGACAACACTAATTGGTTGCACCGGGTCGAAAACGAAATGCGCCTCCTAGGTCAAGATGGCCATATTCCTCAGGTAAGCCCCTTTGCCTCTGGTTGGCCACTGTGAGAACAGGATGCTGGACTTAGATGGCTTAATCCAGTAGTACTGTTCTCGTGTTCCCTTTGGCTCCTGGGAAATATTTTGGATGTTCAAGTGAGAGGGATTGTTCTTTATTCTACTATAGCAGTAAGCAAAGGGCTGTCTATCATATATATATGGACTCTATCATATATATATATATAGTGGACTTTCCACACTCCAGACCAGGAATTTGCTTGGAAAGGCAGAACTGAAGGAAGATGATGGGTCAGTGAGGGTGAGCAGGGAATTGGTTTTGAGCTGACCCTTCAGGCCAGATCACTTCCCATCTTGCTTCATGTGTCCTTCCTCGGTTACTTAAAAATAGTGCTTGCTAACTGTGACTGTAAAGGCTTTCCCATTTGCAGATAGCTGCTTTGTAATGTGGTAGAAGACAGATATTTTCTGTTGCAATTTTCTCTTTTAAATGTGCATGTTTTTTCACTGCTTTCAATGAAAATAGATTGATTCCTCCCCCCCCCCTTTTTTAAATTGCTGTACTTCCCTGAATAGTAGTGTATCTGCAATAGACTATTGTAGTTTCTTGTCGTTCACGTAGCGTAAGAGTAGATACTGTCTTCATATGAAAGAAAAGAAGAAAACCAGGAAGCGAACAAAGCACCTGCCTTCCATTTTTCAAACAAGCCTATAAACAAAATTGACCTGGTGTCTGCTGCATTCTTCCCGCAACCTCAGTGAAATAATACCTTATCCATCTTAGCCACTGCTGAAAATGGAAGTTATTAGCATGTAAAAATGTGATAATAACTGGGAGTCGCAAGGATGAGAGCCATGCTTGATGAATGCTAGTATGCCCCCACTGTCACTGAAGACCAGATATGGCACTGGTCATTTTTAAGGACTTTACCTCAGTTTTGTGTAGGTTTTTTTTGGGGGGGGGGGGTCCTGCACCCTCCTCCAGCCTGGAAGCTTTCAAAGCACCAGCATGCAGGCAGGGTTTGATACTTTGCTTCTCAAGCAGCCCCAGACTTAAGGGGCTTCAATAAGAGGTCTCCTAGGTCATTCCGGTTTGGTTTTAACTTGAAGTGCCTTGGTTGATTTGTATTAACGGCTATCAGCTCCGAGTGAGATTCAATATATACAGGTATAACGTTAATTCAAGAAGCATTGTTAGCTATTGTTAACGCAAGGGGAAGTAGCATGATAGTACAAATCAGTGTATGGTAGGCAAAAATTGCACGAGATTTCCCTTGGCCCAAGCCAACAGTTAGTTAACGGAATGGCTGTTGCCACAATTGGATGCTACCCTCTTGACCTATTCCCCATCACTTGGCAAGACTTCCACTCTAGAAGTAGGACTGTTGTTTTTCAAAGTAGTAGCATTCCTGTCATTACTGGGTTGGCTGCCTATGAGCTTGGCTTCAACGTGGCTCCCTTTTCCAGGAACTCAACCGAGATCTGCAGTACTTCCATTTGAAGTTGGAAGTGAAGGATTTGAGAACTCAGGCTGAATACATGAGGACTCTTGCATCCCTCCAAGAACAGCAATATAAACAGACAGAAAAGTAAGTCGACGTTTGAAATGCCATATTTTGAACAGCTTCCCTATTTAAAGCTTTTGACGTATGTGGAGGCTACAAATAGGCTAATTTTACACGAAAATTGTGGTACATTTGATTAAACTTTCGTTGGACTGCTTTTGAACAAGAGGTCTGAAAGTGACAACGACAATGTTTCTTTTTCTGTCCTATTCCACAAAGCTGAACAGATTGCTCTCTAGTTCTTTCAGAATATCTTAGTAGGAACACTTTGACCTTTTAAGCTCAGTGGTGGCCAATCTCTTTGGAAGGTGTGCAGCAAATCAAATCCAGAGCATGAGAGTGCCATTTTGGCATCCATTGTAGTCTATAGGCAGACTGCTGTGACTTCATAGCTTTGCCTCTTGTCTTGCCTCTGGAACCAGGAATAAGGCAGTCCTGCAGTGTGGAAGATGTAGGCAGGAGAATGTGCCTAGTTCCATTCTGTGGGTAGCTAACCTTTTTTTCTGGCCTGAAGGCCAAATTCACTCTTGACCAGTGATTCAGGGGCACATGTCAGTCGTGGGTATCTCATGCACCACAGGTACCCAGCCCAGCCCTTCTCTTCAGCTGATTATAAATGGGGGAATGGGGGGTTTTCACCTCCACCCCCTCACCAAACAATGACTTGGCCAAGGGCTTGGGACTGTCCTTGAAGACATCTCTGATACTTCAACAGGTCTAAAATACAGAAGCCAGATTACTGGCTCCCTTTGGAACTCCTATAACCCCTCTTTTAAAACAGCTGATCTTAATAGCATTTCCCTTCCTGGGAATTTTCCCCTTAGAGAAGCCTATAGAATAGATACCGATGAATGAGTTCTTTGTAGGCAGCTGCTCAGTGGTGCCTAACAGTGAGATGATAAATTTCTAGTCTGACTACCTACCTGGTTTGAAGGACCTGGTTGATGACCTATACCAAGATCTCTCATTTGGTTTAAGGGTTAGCACCAACACTTTAAATTATGCTCAGAAAGCCAATTGGGAGCCAATGTAGGTCTTTCAGGACCGGTGTTACATGGTCTCGGCAGCCGCATTCTGAAACTGCAATTAATCCAGAATGCAGAAAGATCAACTCAAATATTTTAGGGTATAGGAATCCTGTTGAAAATGTAGGTTGGCACCTAAGGATTAATGACCATAAAATCAAATCTAGAATTGTGAAGGCACTTTGCAACATTTAACCCCAGAAAGAAACTCTACAAATATAAACACTAGGTTATTGGGAATATGGTCAGAGTGTTAAAATTCAAACAGGCCTTCTGACAATAGTCTTCTCTCACTGCGCAACTGATGTTTAAAAGCTTGTGTATACTTTCTAAGTAGAATGTCTGCATATATATAATGTTCCTTAAATACAATTTACATGAAAGCAGCATGCAGTGCTATCTCTGAAATGTTTGTTGCTTATTTACCGTGAAACTTTCATTTTTTAACAGAATACTAAGTGCTTTGCTTTCTGTTATAAGAAAGCAGTACGTAGCTTTGAAAACAGCAGGATTAGCAAACAGTGCTGTTGAGGATGACTTCAAGGCTTTTGAGCAGCTGATTCACAGAGAGAAAGCCGTTGTCTGGGCTGACCAGATGACTGAAAAAGAACCAAAACAAAATGATTCACCAGTGATGTCTGCTATCATGGCCTTTCCACAACTTGTGAGTTACCAGAATACTCCTTGCCGTAAGTAGACAATTGTCTCTTTTTCTATTTTTTAAGGTGTTGCACCTTCCCTAAGGAGAAAAAGGTCAAATTTGAAGGTAGATTTACAGTGAGTTAGATCCATAATGCCCCTTCCTTGTACTGAAAGACTGGAATTCCAGCAGAGGCAGCTGCTGGAGAAAGGGACTGGGAAGGTGAGCTTCAGCCCCTGCAGCTCCCAGTCCTTGGAGGGTCACTGAACTGTCCAGAACAGCTTTTGAGGGGTCTGGAGAGCAGCCTCTCCACCCACTTTCTCTAGCAGGAGTGCCTTGCAGACAGAATAATGGTGATGGTGATCTTTTTATTGAAAGTTCAAAAAGTACCTAACTATATGTGCACCAGACATGGTGAACGCAAACCAAAAAGAGAAACAGAGCCTGTGCAGGAGGGAAAACAAAGGGGGAAACCCAAAACTATATATTTTACAAGGCAAGTCTGCGTTTATATGCAAGACGTTCATATGTTGCGAGTTTGTATAAGCCTTCAATCCAATCGTAGAAGGGTGCCGCATTTTTATTTTTCCAATTCATCAGTATCAGTCTTTTTGTGGTAAGGGCACGGAGAGTCCACTCACATTGTCCTTTTGTAAGGTTCCATGTGCTGGTTATATAATTCAAGAGGATATTTTGCTCTGTAAATGTAAGGTTGTTCTATACAGTTCTGTTGATGGTTTCAGGTACCTTCTGCCAAAAATCTTTCAATATAGGACATTGGTTATTATGAAGATTATATCTTTATTTATACCCCACCTTTTTCTCTGTTGAGACTCAAGACAGCTTACAGATAAAAGACCTGCCAATAATTATTACAAGTTCTCCTCGCCTGAATTCTGAATCCAGCCAAATGTGACTAAACCTAACTTTAGTGTAGCAGCTAAAGTGTAAGATAGCAAAAGAAGCCCTTTCTTGGAAATGGTGTGCGTCATCCCCTCAGGAATATCCGCCTATATCACTCAACTCTTCCTAATGTAGCAGTTACAGCCTTGCGAAAATATCAGTTCTAGGGTGGGCATTGAAATGAATCTGAATGTAGCTTTTCTCCAGATCACCGAAGAAAGTAGAAAATGTTGATATAAGCCTTGATCCAGATAATTATTTAAAGATACTTGTGTACAGCAAGACCTTTTCCTTCCTGTTTTGTAACCTTTCTGAATTCCTCCACAGCGCTTGTGATGTTTCATTTGAGAGGTGGGCTGTTTTGTTAAGATAAGGAAAATACCCACTGTACACCTGACAAATAAGGGTGATTCGACAGATTAAAGCCGTTTGTTAGCTTTGTGTTACTTTTCCTAGTGCAGTGCAGTCATCTTTTGCCGGTATCCTTATCAGTAGATAGTCTGGGCGTTTGTACGATCCGGCCAATTTATGCCATGAACAGTCTTATTGGTCATAAAATGAAGTAAGGCACCTTTCAATCGGTTTAGCAAACGTTGTTTCCTGTCTGTGGCTTTCTGTTGGAAATGTGAGCGCTAATGTTTCTACTGACTCCTCCTTAATGCGGTAATTTTCTGCATTTACTGTACCTCTACAACTTCTGCATCCTGGGTGCTCCCTTCCCTAGAGACATTTCAGAGCAAGCAGCAATGCAGATAGGAATTGCGGGGGAAGTTGCAAGGTCGCTAGTGAAAATAATTTGATTTATGCAGAAACACAAGGGGGAGAATTGCTGTTGGTCTTCCCAAGCCTATGGTTTTAGAGAGTCCAAGGTGATCCTGGGTATTCCTTCTACAATTAGAAGATCAGTATTGGCAAACTTCACTGAAAGACTTCCATTCCTGATCTTCCCTAGTCTGAATGCACCCTCAGCTTCCGTAGGAAATGATGAGGCCCAATAGATCTTGTCACTACACCATGTGAGCTTGTGGTGCACTCTGGATCCTCCAACCTACGATACATGTGCACTTCAACAGTTAGATTGATGTGGGAAAGTTTCCTTCGAGGCAGAAAATTTGGAAACCAACCCTCCTAAACAAAATACTAATATTTTCAGAAACAAAATATGCTATGGAGAGCTATGCTTAAGAACAAGACTTCGTGAAACACTGGATATTTTATAAGCCTTCTAGAGCTCTTACCATCTAAACTTGGATAAACAAAACGGTACTTATAAGTTAGGATGGAACATTTGTATGTTTTGTTTAAAGATCCAACACACAAAAATCACCAGCAGCAGAAATTATTTCTTAGAAAAGTCATGGGGAGCAGGGAGTTCCCATGTTGTTAGGAAGCCCCGACTTATCTTTAGTTAGGAAATTTTTAAACGACAATTCATACAGATCCCATTGCACCCTTTTTGGTTCATTGATTTTATTTATTTATTTATTTTGGTATGCAATCTATTCAAGATGTTAGGCAGGAAATGGGGTTTTGCACAGAGGCTGAAAAAACATTGGCCACCTGTTACACAGTGGTCATTATTCCTCATTTAAAAATCCATATTTTACTTGCAGCATAATTGCATGGGCTTTACTTGTCAACATAACAGTAAAGCTGTTCCATTTTGGGGGCACCAGACTCTTGGTTTCCAATCCATTGTTGAATTAAGAGACATATATGTTCCCGTGGGAATATTTCAGAGGGTTTTCCAAAATTCTCTATATTTGGATAAATTGGTCATCATAATGTTTCATTTACGATGAAGTATGTATGCAGTATAATTTTAATAAAATAATGGGCATCTCGGGAATTAAACAGGAAGGGTGTGTGTGAGCCCAGCTTGCTAGCATATGTAGTTTACTGTTTCGCTCTTAAATGTGGATTGATTACTAGGAAAGTGTAGTTTGGAAATGCTTTCCCCCTAAATGTCTTCCTTTAGATGTTAAGTGTAGCAATACCCATAAATGCCAGCTATGTTGTCTAGTACCAATAATGCCATCTACTGTGAATTATCAGTGGATGATAGCTTACGTCTCAGCATATTTATAATATTTGCAGTGGTACCTCGGCTTAAGAACTTAATTCATTCTGGAGCTCTGTTCTTAACCTGAGGTACCACTTTAGCTAATGATTTCTGTTCTCATCCTGAAGCGAAGTTCTTAACCCGAGGTACTATTTCTGGGTTAGCGGAGTCTGTAACCTGAAGCGTCTGTAACCCGAGGTACCACTGTATTGGTGTTTTGCATCTGTTTGGCACACTAGCAATGCATAAAAAAGATAATGAGGCTTAGACATTTGTCCAGTCTAAACCAGTCCTTTGTTTCTGGTCATACCTCAACATTTCTGGTTTGCATATGATGGAAATATAGTATAGTACAGTATTTTAACTTGGGGAAAGAGTAGGCAGGGCTTTATAAATGGACTGTGAGAAACACAAAGAAAAGTTGGCTGCTATCAGAAGTTAGAGCAAAGTTGATTCTCTGATATTCTAGTCAAGGTAGTTAAAGACGGGAGCAGAAAAAGCAAAGGCAGCGGTTGTGCTTTAAAAGAGTGGGGCATTGTAAGAACTAGCAATGTAAAGTTGGCACAGAAAGCAATCAAGGGACAAGGCAATCTTAATCATCATTGACCAAAGACAAAGAAGCTGCTAGAATGGAAGTCAGCAAGATTTCAAAAATTTTACATGAGAGTAAGCTGAGGGTGATGAGCTTTAGCAGTAAATCCCATTCATTTCCCTCTATAGTTCTAACTGTTTTCTCACTGTATTGGTGAAGGAATCAGTTTAAGGGTTCTTCTGGTAAAATAAAAATAAAAAATCTCCATATTTTGCAAAACTCAGTTCTCGGGATGTGTATGCCCAAATTACAGTGCCCCTGTGTTTGCTATAGACAGATAGATAGACAGACGTGCTTTGGTGATAGGCTGCTTATAGCAAACTTTAATGACAAAGATCTCTGGGCAGTTTTCAGTTCCAGAACTTAACTTGGTAGCGCGCTTCCCAAAACTTGTAAGGTTGGTTAGAGATTTCTCTCTCCCGGTAGAGTAGGGTGGGGTTGCCGTTTGATTGAACCCATCACTCTTGGCTTTTCTACCTCGCTTGGCAACTTCAAAGCCTTGTTATTATATGCTTTCAGTAGCACTTGGATGAGAGTAAGAAATGAGACTTGGCAGCAGAATAACAACATCATCCTTGAAACAACTTTAATTTCAAATAGACTGTTGCCTCAAAAAAAGAGTGAGGGGTTTACCTTTTAGTTGCAGTTTATAGCAGACTGCAAAATCATAGGCAGCTGTGATATTTTAACTCCTGCCATTGAAGTGCAACATAAATTATTATACCAGTCAAGTAAAAACACAAGCTCTAAGTTAAGAGTGGCATTCTTAAGGCTTGCGCAGTAGGATTTTGATTGATGGCGTGATCCGTGTTCTCTCTGTGTGTGAGATGCGAACGCGAGCTCCATTCACAGCCAGGCACTTGCCAGTATTTCTGGCTTTGTTTCAGATATCCCATTTCTTTAAGCGTAGCTGTGCATTAGTAGAGAGGGGGGTGGGGTCCATTTTTAAATGCAGGGGGAAGTGCCCATTACTTCCTCCAGTGACCAGAAGCAAAGCCAATTTATTACTGGGAAGAGCTAATTGCTGTGAATTCTCATGTTCGTCAAAACATTGACTTGAGATGCAGGATTTCATCCTCATTCATCCTCTCACCTGTAAGCTTCAATACGTACTGGAGAGCTTCTTCCCATTCAAGCTGCCCTGTTACAACTGCCTTCCTTTCTCCATCTTAAGTAATAGCATCACACTAATGTTGCCATTCTTTTGGATGCAAGCTGGGGTTTGGGTAGCTCCCACACACCCACATTGCATTTATTGCTTCTAGAATATATTTAAATTGCTTGGCATAATAACGCGTTGGGGTCACATGAATATTAAATAGCCAAAATTCATTCACTAGGCAACATTTGCAACTCGGAATTCCATGAGTCAGAAAGCTGTTAAAAGAATCAAAATTTATGATTAGTAGAGTAATTGGATCAATCACTGCAAGCCCAGAAATGTTTATTGAAATGAATACATTAATATTTGATTTCACTTTAGCCGAACAACCGAGCAGACTTAATTTAGCACAGATTCCAGAAATACCTTCTCATGCATGTATTTAACATGAGTTCTGGAAGAATAAAAAAACCCCAACCCGTTATTTTGTCCCAAACCCAATTAGAACTTGTCCCATTCATCAATGTCTTTTTGACATGAACTCGACTTTTGTGGACTGTGACTCATGTTTGCTAAATACTTCCCTCACGCTTTTCACATTACTTGATACCATGCTAAGTCTTGTCTTTGTATACTCCCTTCGTGATAAATGAGTTCCTTTATCGGCAGAGATTTCTGGAGGCATGACATGGCATAGCCAAGGCTGTCCAAAAATTCTTAATTGAAAGGGAGAGAAATCATTCATTTGAATACCTTCATGTTCAACTCCCGTTTTTCATGTCGATTCTAAAGCATGGCAAAAATATATTTTGGCAGGTGCAGCTCAAACCTGTGAAAGTTTACTCAGAAGTAAGTTGCACTGCTTGCCATAGGGCTTACTTCTAGGTAAGTGCAAAGGAACGCAGCTTTAATATAAGGTGTATTTGCTTTCCCCATTACACATGGTAATAAGTTGGGGGGGATGTGGTCAATTTTACATCTAAATTAATCCTTAAGTATTGTATCCAATTTATCTTAATTTATGGGACTGGATAGATATATGTGGGCTTGCTTTTCCAGCATGGCTGCAAGTATTTGCCTCCATTTTCAGCACACCATAGTTTATTGAAAGTAGGGGAGGGGGTTTGCAGTAGTGAGCTTTAACTATGGTTTGTCCAAAGAAGCCAGGATCATCAACTTCTGATCATCTCCTCTTCATGACTTCACTGGAAGAGAAGGGTTTGAGGCACACCTAAGCTTGTCCCCATAGCAGTAAACCAGGGTTGGGCAGCCTGTGGCACTACAAATCCCATTATCCGTGACCATTGCCCATGCTGGCCACTTTTAAGGGCAGGATAAACGAGGACAATCACTCTTTTAAATATACAGTACTTTCATTAAATAATAATAGCAAGTTGGTGTACAGCATTATAATATCCATAATAAGATCCATTCATGTTCCATTCAAGACCCGTCTGAACAATACTGTTTTCAGAAGACCTCTGAAATATGGCAGGGGTGACTCTTGCCTGATCTTTACAGGCAAGGAGTTCCAGGGGGGCATCAGGGGCAGGAAGATTTCAGTGACTGAGGTGGAGCATAAGGAATCAGGAGGTACTTTGGGCCCAAGTTGTTTGAAACAATTGTTTTGCTAAGGATTTCTTTCATTCTGATGACATTAAGTAGCTATATGGGGTTTCCTTTTTCCTAATGGCTCGCATTTGTGCTTCATGGAACCCCAGCAACCTGCTTTTTATTAATGAGCTTGCAGTGCAGTATGAAATATGGCTCATTGTGTTGAAGTTCAACAAATTATTAATGTTGGCAATACTTTTTGTGTTCTCTACCTATCTGGTTTGCAGTTTAAATGCTTACATTTACGGGTAATTTAAAAGTGGTTTCAGTACTGGGAGAAGCTTCTAAAACTTGGCACTCTCACCAAAATGTTTCTCTCCCCCAAGACTTCGTTCCCAGTTTCTCTTAGGACATTTTGAAAAAACCCAGTGCCTTACAGTAAACAAAACTTTTTTTCTTCTTCTTTGGAAAGAGGAACGTCAGTGCTATAATGTATAAACACAGACCAACGGTCCGCCAACCACTACTTTTCCCCGAAACACATACTTTCAGATGCATAAGCTAGAGCAACGCCTCATAAATTAATATTTTAAAATGTTGCCTAAAATGTTTAATGGATAGCTGTTTGAAAGATTATAATTGGATTCTCTGGGCAAAGCATATTGTTGATATTCAGCAAAGTGGCTATTCAAAATGTTATGATTGGAGCCCTGCATCACTATTCATATAATCGGGTTTCTCGGCCATAGGATGTTGGAAGATAAATATTTTGAGCACACAGAGTTTGTTTATTGCCTAGAAATGCAATGTGGAATACTTCAGACTAAAATTTATGAACCAGGAAGTACTGGGATTGTATCTAGCCAAACACCAATCTGAATTTTTAACCAGAGGGCGGGGGAGAGAGAGAATGCCTCTGAGCCATTGAGTTTGAAGCAAGTGTGTAGGTAGGATTCTCTTGTTATTTTTCCTGTGAGGGTAGGACCAAGAACAGAGGCTGTACAGTTAACTACTACATATTCACAGGAATGGTCTCACTTAGTCCAACTGCTATGCAGAGCATGTCAACCCTTCACCATCATAAGTATAATACATAGCTATACTTTGTATGTTCTACATCAAAACCTAGGATGTTCTGATACACTTTTTCCTGACCTTCTGTGTACTATTTTTCAGCTTAAAGATCTGCTACTTGTAAGCCAACCCTAAATATTTCCTTCTAGACACCTTTAGCTTGTGGTTAGAATCATGGCTATGTCTAGTTGCACCTTGTTTGGGTGAGTGATCTAAAATGGTGGTGCAATGCTTTCTAAATTGCTGAAGATCTCCCCACCACCACCCCAGTAGTTCGTCTTTCATTGGTTTTGGACTTAACATTGTCAGTTAGGGTGACATGCCTTTTTTGAAGTGGCTTGATGATGTGTGGTTTCCGAATTTATTCTTGCAAAATCAAGCAGTGGTAGATTTTGAATAAATGTCTTACGAAGGCTAAGCTCATTGCCTGGCAGAGGTGGAAATAAAGGCAAAGTGTTTGTTTTATGCAGATAAGCAAGCTAAATGCACTACTACATTCTAAAGGCAGTACTAAACCTCTGTGTTTTGGTTTCTAACTATTTCAGCAGGCAGAACAGAGAGGGGAAATCAAGTCACATGCTGTAATAAAATTTCTTAAGCCCCTTTCATAGTTTTTCCTCCATCTGCTTAGTCTATGTGTGGAAGGGAAAGCAGGTTTAAAACATTGAATACAGAAGGAAGAAGCAAAGTACAAAGAAAATACAGTACTAGTGAATAATAATAAAACAATTGTGTATCAGTAGAGAGGTAAGGGCTTCAGTTGGAGATCCCAACTTGCCAGATGTTTGTTATTTATGCAAACATATCCATGTAGGGAGTCCATCTATCTAATAATTTTCCACCCTTCCTCTGCTTAGGTAAAGTCGCTTTCTCATAAGTGGCTAGTTGGCTTATGTCTTCCATCCCTTGTACTATACGGGAAGAAGATCTCTCCTTTCAGTATTGAAGTGTCAAGTGTTTGGCCACCATGAGTACCTTCATTAGCCAGTTATATTTTCCCTCTCTCTGATTCCAAAGGACTAGTAAATAATACAGCAAAACACTAACATCTTTACATCTCAGCAATCTGTTTAAGACCATATTTATGGTTACCTCTGACCAAAATGTCATTACTTTGGGGCAGGATCATATCATATGGCTCTATGTTATTGGAGGGGGGAGCACAATGCCAGCACTATTCTGTGTTTTACATATATTTTTTGGAAAATGTATTGTGGGTTCCAATGCACTCTAAGGATGTTTTTTCATGTTGTATCAGACATAGCCTGATATCCATGGAGACCAATCTGACAGAAACGAGTATCGCTTTCCATTGCCTATTGTGTATGAGCTGCAAGAAATTAAGACCACCACTGCTATAATCCGCTTTCCATTTTCCGTGGTCTCTTATGCGTCCTTCTTAAGTTCTCCTACTTGCTCCTCACTGCCCTCGCCTCCTTCACTGTGTGATACTTTCTGTCAATCACCCATTATTACAATGGTTCTGTACTGGCTCAGCTGCTTTTAATTATGGCTTATAAGCTGCTATCCTCAGCAACTGTACAGTTATGTGTTGATAAATTATTATATTAGTTCCCTGTTTCCTTCTCTCCCACACTGCTGCTGGTGCACTTATAGGTATTTGTATATAATTTTTGTATACATGTAGGAAATTATATTATAGTAAGTCCTGTAATGTAATATGACAACGTTTACCGATCTAATATAAGAATGTTAACAAATAAATAAAATGCAAATTTCAAAAAAAAAATGAAAGCTTGGAGAGGGCTTAAAATGATCCAGACTAAGGTACAGTGGTACCTCGGGTTAAGAACTTCATTCGTTCTGGAGGTCCGTTCTTAACCTGAAACTGCTCTTAAGCTGATGTACCACTTTAGCTAATGGGGCCTCCCGCTGCCGCCACGCGATTTCTGTTCTCATCCTGAAGCAAAGTTCTTAACCGGGTTAGCGGAGTCTGTAACCTGAAGTGTCTGTAACCTGAGGTACTACTGTACTTGAATCCAAAGGGAGATCAGGGTGACTTAAAGTAATACAATTACATTAAAACATAAAAAAAGTTAAGTTACTACTAACTTGTCCCATTGATTTCAGTGAAACCTAGGCTCAGCTACCTTGGTCTAGATCCAGCTCTACAGAACTGTTCTTACTCTTCTCTGCAAAGCCTAGAACACACACCTAAGTGATTTTTCTTGCCTGTGTTTCAACTTAGGTATGCCATCAGAGAAAGTTATGACCCATGTGGAACTTGAGGCAGAATACGGAGTACCTCCTAGCAAAAGAATAAGGCGGAAATTGATGGAGTCTCCCATGGCAATGCAAAGTCCTCAGCAATCCAGTCGGCCAAGTCCTAATCACCTGGTGGATTCCATCAGCAAAGAATTCCACCCCATTCTGTATACACCTAAGGGCTGCCAGAAGCCTGTGGAGAACCTGCATACTGAGACTGTGGTAAAGCAACTGTTAAATACAGCAACAGGCCTTCAAGAAATGAACAGCCGCACTGCACAGGCTCAGGAGCCATTAAAGCAGGAGAGCCATGGGGATAACATATGCATCGTGACTCCAGAGCGCCTCATGAACTCGACAGTTACTCTCTATGAAAGCAACATGGGCAGTACAGACTTCCCTCCCAATGAATCTGAAAGCAAATTGCAGGTGACCGACAGCAGCAACAATAGTTTACAAAGGTATTTTCTGTGGAAGAGGAGGTGTAATATCCTCTCTCCTTCCTCACCCCTTTAATCCTGATATTGGTTTGTCTGCTTTTTTCCCTTTTTGCACAATTAGTGTGACCTCAGTTGTTTCACATTCTAATGTCAGATAATTGTGGCATTTAAAGCCTCTGAAAGACGTGCCTGAATTGTTAAACTATGTATGGCCTTGTCCAAAAGATCGTGTTGCTGTTTCCTCCTGCTGATCCCTTTTTCCTTTCTTTCATGGACTGCAGTCCATGAACACAAAGTCTGGCGAAACACGACAATAAGGCAAGTGAAGAAGCAAGGGTAGAATACTGAGCAGTTTTCACAATGGAGTGAAGGAAGCATTGGGTTCCTCTAGTGATCTATTTTGGGATCTGTGCTACTGGAGTCAGGGATTGTAGGCAGACTTGCAGGTAACACCAAATTATTCAGGTTGGTGAAAGTCGAAGCAGGCTGTGAATTGCTCCAAAAGCATCTCTTCAAAGTGGGTGGGCAACAAAATGGCAAGTGAGGCTCATTTTCAAAATCACATTGGGGCAAAAAATCAAAATAAAATAATCATGGCAACGTATTCATTGATGTGGTCTCTCTGAACTGGTAAGTACTCAGGAAAGAGATCTTGGGGTTGTTCTAAACAGCTCTGAAAACGTTGGCTTGTTTATGGTGGTGAGAATGGGAAATGTTGTGCTAAGGATTGAAATACATCTGCCTGTATTAGGATGCCTTTAAATAAATCAGAGGTACAACTCTTTTGGAAAATGACATTGAAGAGCTGTAAAAAGTGCAGACCAGTGCACAAGATGAAATTCACTTTCGTAAGATGTGGTGGTCACCACTGGCACTGATGGTTTTGAAAGGGGATGAGATAAACCCATGACAGATGTGTCTCATCAGTCGCAAAAAAAAAGAAACCATGATGACAAAATGGAGCCTGTACGTTCAGCAGCAGTAGGCCTCTAAATCTTCATTTCTTATAGGCAAGGATGTTAACAGAAGAGTTCTGTTGCCTTCAAGTGCTGCTTGCGCGCTTCCTGGTAGCACCTGGCTGGCGAATCAGGTTACTGTACTAGAGTGGGCCCTGGGTGGATCCCACAGTGTTTCTGGGCACTGCTGTTAGAAAATGTTCAGCATTAGCAAGGAGCAGCAAGGTCATAGGGTTCCAGAAGTTGGTAGTAGGGTACCTCTTGCAGCATCGACCTTTGCAGGTACCCAGCAGTGTCAACTGCTGATTCCTGTGCAAATTTCTCATCCTGGCCCAATTCCAGGTGAAACCAGGTTATTTCCGTTGAAGGTATTGCAGAACAGATCCTCCAGTGAAAACAGACATGTAAGCGTCACTACTGGCAATTTCTGGATTTTTAAAAGCTATGCAAATAAAATATCCTTCCATTGCATATTTTGTTTTAATACTGACACTTTTTGGAATGCAATATTATTTTTAGAATTTGTGGCTTTTGTTTTAAAGAAAGACTCTGGGTTTTTCACAACTACTCCCCCCCCCCTTTTGCTGTTATTTCAGACTTGCTGTCGCTCCATCGTTAAATAGGCAGCCAGACCCCATACATAATAAGCCATCTTATATGGCAATGACATCTGCTGCTGAGAGGAAAAGAAAGTTATTAAGGTAAGTCATGCTTCAGGTTCAGTGCTGTTTTCCCCATCTGTGAAATGGGTTGCAGAAGACCCAGTGGATCAGATCATTCCTTAGTCAGTTCATTCGTAAGGTCCAGCCGTGTAATGGTGTCTATTCCATCTGTCTGTTCATAAAGTCCAAAAAATCCACATGAAAGGTTGTTACAGTTCCACAAAATCCTTACACAGAGTCTAGACAAGGATTTCCGGAATATTGGCCTTGTTTCGCCGTCCTGGGCTTCAGTACTTAAAGCTCTAAGTAATGCAAATAAATACAATATCATTATCTCACCCATTTTACAGCAAAAATAATATAAAACCATAAACAACTGTACATACCATATGTGATATTACAGGACAGTGGCTCTTATGGCATATTGGTAGCTGTGGTAAGTAGCAACTGTTACAAAGTAGAGTTATATGGACAAGCACAAAATTGTTACAAGTTAGAAGTGTTGGCACTCCACAAATACAAAATATCTTAAAGTGACCCATATGGCACAGCAAAAGTAAAACTAAACTTAATCCATGTTCAGATGATATACATGTAAACATTAATACAAACTCATACATAAATGTAAACAATTTGGATCTAAAGTAATGGCAATCCACACATGCACAATTAAGTACTCAAAATAAACCACTTGGCCCACAGAAGTGAAACAAACTTAGTCCATGCTCAGGTGTTCTACATGTAAACATTAGTACAAATACACACAAAAAACCTATAACCAATTTCAGTATTCAGACCTGAGGGATGTAAGGAATTGAATAAGAAAATAAACCTAGTTTCTTTCTGCATAAGGATTTTTTTTTTTTTGCACTGAATAGGCGGGACGCGGGTGGCGCTGTGGGTTAAACCACAGAGCCCAAGGCTTGCAGATCAGGTCAGCAGTTTGAATCCCCACGATGGGGTGAGCTCCCGTTGCTCGGTCCCAGCTCCTGCCAACCTAGCAGTTTGAAAGCACGTCAAAGTGCAAGTAGATAAATAGGTACCGCTCCGGTGGGAAGGTAAACGGCGTTTCCGTGCGCTGCTCTGGTTCACCAGAAGCGGCTTAGTCATGCTGGCCACGTGACCCGGAAGCTGTACGCTGGCTCCCTCGGCCAATAAAGCGAGATGAGCGCCGCAACCCCAGAGTCGGTCAGGGGTCCCTTTACCTTTACCTTACAGGACCTGAATATGTCCAAATTACAAAAAATGTCAAGTCCTCATCGGAATGAGATGCTTCAATAAAATGTTGCACTAAAGGAGCATCTATTACATTGTTCCTGATCCTAGATCGGTGTTCTGATAGTCTTACTTTGATAGGTCCGAGAGTATGACCTACATACAACAATCCACAGGGATATCTAATCACGTAAATTACACGTGGAGTAGCACATGTGGCAGATGCCTGTAAAATGAACTTAAAGCCTGCTTGGTTGTTAAACTCTTTTACCTGCAGAGCATATTTGCAGGAGGTACAATGCCCACATTTTAAAAAACCACGTGGTCCATGGGGTCACGAAGAGTCGGACACGACTAAACAACAACAACAACAACAATCTTAACAGCAGTTATAAGGTTAAGCATCATTTCTTGATCCTTTCCCCTCTCCTAAACCTTTAATGAATCAGGAGAATAGACTCCCAGGAGTAAACTCCTGATCAGTTTTTGACTACCCTTTAATTGCCAGGTTCCTACGCTGAATTTTCAGTGCTCCTGTGCAGAACTTCCTGAGCAGAATATTTCCTATTTTCTTTGAGCCTACCTGCGCACTATTGACCTTCCTATACAGGAGCTTTAAAGGAAAGCACAACCATTATTACAACTCAGGTTTTACAACCAAAAACCCAGCACAGAATAGCTGAAAGTTCTATTCCATCACACTGGGAAACAAATGCACAGACACAAACCAGAAATATAATTTGAATCATACTTGTTCAGCTTTTCTTAGGACCAGGAGAAGAAATAGCCACAATCCATACAAGTATATCTGTGGTGGATCTTTCTTGTAGTAAATTAGTCACACACGTGGTCCTCGATCTAATATACTTGTAGATGTTGTGTTCCAGAAACCGAAAACTGAGCATGCCAGCTTAAGATCACTGTGCTAAAAGCAAACTTGTTATAACTTTTTCTTACAGTTCAGTATCGAACAGCGACATTACAAATCAGCACGGTCATACAACTGCAAAGCGTATTAAACAAGACAGCATGTTAAGTTATAAAGCTCTAAGAGTCCCTAAATCAACAGGTAGGTATCAAATTACAATTTTCAGTGATTATATCCAAACTTGAGCAGTAGGTGGCTATGGAGGAGCGCCAAGATTGTGGGCTGATATTTACCATTTTTCTTAGTCTTTTGCTGTGGTAATTTAGATGTACAGCTGGGTCAATATATTTTAGCTACTCAGTTAAATTGAGTGAAAAAGTTACTCCTTAAGAAACTCTTAGTCGGTTCCATGTTTTAATACAGCGGACCCTTGGGTAACTGTATTTGAGTAACGTAACTTTCGGGTTGCTAACGTGGCAAACCCGGAAGTGTGTACTTCCAGGTTTCGCTGTGTGCAGAAGCGGTGCCTCTAGATGCAGACTTTTCGGGGTACGTACGGACCCCCAGAACCAATTAAGTTCATATCCAGAGGATCAACTGTATAGGGAAAGAGGAGCCAAATAGCCCAAAGGGGATTGACAGTATTCTCAGAATTACATATTCTCCCTTACTTCAGGACTGTATGTACATCTTCCCACTTTTACCTACCCCTACCTGTGACACTAAACTGCCTGGATGTTTTCTAGCAGTTTATCCATCTGTTTGGAAGAGCATAAACCCTGGAGCTGTTTGTTGTCTTCCTCACCGTGCAGTGGCTTGTTGGCAGTTCCCATCATAGCTGTGGCAAAAGGTGGAGCTGCTGAATTCTTCGCCACACCCTTGTGGTGTAGTGGTTAAGAGCTGTAGACTGGTAATCTGGTGAACTGGGTTCGCGTCTCCGCTCCTCCACATGCAGCTGGTGGGTGGCCTTGGGCTAGTCACACTTCTCTGACGTCTCTCAGCCCCACTCACCTCACAGAGTGTTTGTTGTGGGGGAGGAAGGGAAAGGAGAATGTTAGCCGCTTTGAGACTCCTGAAGGGGAGTGATAAAGCGGGATATCAAATCCAAACTCCTCTTCTTCTTCTTCTTCTTCTTCTTCTTCTTCTTCTTTTTCTTCCACAATTTTCAGTGTCTCATAAGATCCTTCTGGCAGGTTCTTTCCTAGCTTCCGCCACCTCTTTTCTGTGATATCTCCGCCTCCTTGGTGCTAACCATCATAGCCACGCTCCATATATTTTTGAATCCAGAGCAGTGATAGGCAGGAGCAGAGGGGCAGTGCCATGCTGCCACTCTCTGACAGTGGTGGCATTGTAGCTTACCGGCACGGGGCAGGGGGGTGGTGAGGTCAAGAGTGGGTGGACGCAACTTCTTCTTTAGCGATCACTCGTAGCCAAGTAAGATTGTCTTCCATAAACATGGTTTTAACAATGAGTCCGTAAGTGACTGTGGAGGCCAATTCTGGATCCACTCATAGAAAAGTTGGAAGAGACCACAAGGGCCATCGAGTCCAACCCCCTGCCAAGCAGGAAACACCATCAGAGCACTCCTGACATATGGTTGTCAAGCCTCTGCTTAAAGACCTCCAAAGAAGGAGACTCCACCACACTCCACACTCGTCCTTCCACAGTGGAGACATTGGTTTCTGGGTGGGAGTTGATCATGGTGTGGATTTGCCAAGCTTGCCTTCCTCTTAGCACGTTTCTCCCTTGTGTCCTGAGTTTGAGTGTCTTCAAAACCCATGGCACCTTTGGTAAAGGCTGTTTTCCAACTGGAGCGCCCGCAGGCCAGTGTTTCCCAGTTGCTGGTGTTTATACTACATTTTTTAAAATTTGCGTTGAGAGAGTCTTTAAATCTCTATTGTTGACCACCAGCATTATGCTTTCCATTTTTAAGTTCAGAATAGAGTAGTTGCTTTGGAAGACGATAAGCAGGCATCCGCACAACATGTCCAATGAAGTTGATGTTGAAGAATCATTGCTTTGGTGCACGGCCCTAGCCACTCCTGCCAGCAGTAAGAGTGACTTCTTCGGATACCTTTTTGTGTGGTGGGGAATGCAGAGGCAGGACATTTCCCTGGGCAGCATGGTTATGGCAGGGAAGCCAGTTTTAAATTAGCCAAGGATATAATGAGTTTTGCTGATGTGGGCCTATGCATGCCACTGTCCAGGCTCCCCCTGCCAAAGAACAGGTTGCCTTTGCCTCCATCATGGTTCCAATTGCATCTGTGCATTTACAACGAAAGCTTGATTTGGACAATCTTGCATACTCAAGAGGTCCCCAAACAATTGCCTTTTTGCTACCTCTTGTCCTTTTAACCACCCTTCCTCCAGGCAAAATTAATGTTCTCTTTCTGTTATGCAGCTGGTGAAGTGCTGCACGTAGCATTCCCCGGAGCTAATAGAAGCCGAATACAGTGTTATCAGTACTTTGCACAATGCTATCTTCGTGTTAATTATTTGTACCAAATGTTAGGTAATAAAGGATACCAGCATCAATTACTGTAATTGTATTGTTAAAGAATCATGCAATTGAATTCCTAATTTAGAAGCTGGGAGCGCATTAGACATGCTTAGAATCTAAAAAAAAAAACCACCAAAAAAAACCACCCTATCAATATTCCAAAGCACATGCTTGGGCTTGTTCTGTGTGCAGGGGTGGAGAACCTCTTTCAGCCTGGGAGCACAGATCCAGAACTGGCCCACTTGCCAGGAGCCGTTTTTGAAAAGGGGGCAGGGTCTCCCTCTTGACTGTCATGTGACGTCAGGTGATTAAAATGTCAGGCTTCAAAGGGAACAGGCAAAGTGCCAGGATCAGGAATCAGCCTCTTCTGTTGCCTTTTACTGTTGAGCAAGCGCTTCTCCTTGAACCTTAGTACTATGGTGCTTGATGCTGATGTCAGATATAAGAAATCCCTTATCCGAACTTAGTGCTTCAGTCTGAGAAAGGTGTGTCCCAAACTATTCATTAGATGGAGCTGATCCTCATATTAGTTCTGTGTGGTAAGTTTTGAAAACTTTCTGAGCCACAGGATACTACAAGTTATTGCTTGGCCATTCACGGCTCTCTGAGTGGCTTATGGAGTAAAACAATAAACGCTATGTTAGCAGCATTTTTCAGACACTTATCAGATGCAGAGAAGTTAACAGTTCAAGCATATAGTTAATGTCATTTAAATAATAATAATAATAACAATAGCAACCATGATGATATAGTAATAGTAGTCCTACGTCTGCCCTGTTCTGTTAACCTTAACATTTAGGGAAATAATAAACATAATCAAAGCAGTAGTATCTGTGTCTCTCTTTAACATGGCTAATTTTTTGTTCCATAGAAACTAGAACAAGAAGCTGGAAGCAAAATGAAGTGCTAAGAAAACGTGTCAGAAACAACGGCAAGGAAAATGCAACCTTAGACACGAAATTCAAGACATCCAAAAAAGCATTTTAAATTACCTACGTTGAAATAAATCCTTGCTTTATACAGATTTTAATTTATTAGCAAGACAGGAAAGGTGAACTTTCCATCTGCTCTCTGCACTGTTTCTCACTTACCTGTGGTAGTAGTTATTCATTATATTTTACAAACATGTATTTTTCGAACGCTCGCATCTGTGCTTTGGTGCATCCTTCACTCGCTCTGAACATGTAATTGGAAGCTGCATTGTACTTCACAAATGGCTGCTTTTGACATCTCTGCCCTTCGCCATATTTCAGTGAAATAATCTCTTGCAGTGAGAATACAGTCAGAAAGATGGGTGGGGCTCCTCTATAGTGTGTTTAGCTGGTACATAGTTGGTACTTTGTTGGTACATGAAGCATCATAAAGTTTAAGAAGGAAATGTTACAAAATTCCCCTCCTTCTAATGCAGCTCTTCATAAATGACAGGCAGCATTGAGCTCTCATCCCTGCATGCTTGCCCAATGCAGGGTGCAAACACCTTACATACTGTGGACCTTTGAAGAAACAGCTCTACTGTATTCCAGCGAGGAAGGTGCAAAACAGATCTTAAGCGATGCGCCTTAATGTCTTTTGCCTCGCGTTGCTGGCTAAATTACAGTGCATGCATCATAATGCTTGCTTGTGCCTGGTATGGAGGCAGTGGACTCAGGAATATCGTATGTCCTTCCCTGTGCTGAATTTGGAGTAGTGGTGGAATGTATCCATGGATTTCATGACTCATTGGGACTCGTAGGGAATGAATGTAAGAACTTTAGTTTTTAAAAATTTACCTAATAAGCCAATATACCTGTGGTCCTCCAAGTCCTGTTGGACTCCAACTCCCATCAGCCCCAGCCAGCATAGTCAGTGGCCTAGGGATGATGAAAGCTGTAGTTTAGCAGCTTCTGGAGGAACAAAGGTTTCCCACCATTGGCTTTTTAGGTGCTCTTTTAGTGAAATTCCTGCACATGGCAACATTTCCTTTTTCAAGCTGGTGTTTGAAACTAAACCTTCTAACAACTTGAATGTAAAAATGTCCTTGTATTTTTAGTCTGTATCTGTGTGTCTTAGATTAACTCTTGTGTTGCTTGTGAATTAAATTTTTTTTTTTTTGTAAAACCAAAGTCTTTGTCACACACCTGTTCCTCCTTCGAAACTCTCTGGCTCTTACAATTAGTTTGCTTTACTCATAGGTTGATATGACATACGTGGCATACTGCTCCTGAGGATTTAAAAGTCCTTGATTTTAATGGAAGCATGTTAATGCCCAGCTCAGCAGAAAGGATCCAGAAACTTTCCAGAATCTGTCCCCTTTCCTCCATCATCTATTTCTGTATTTTCTTGTGGTGACAGTGGCAAGGGTAACATTGCCCTCCAGTCAAGAACTCTGTGAACAACAACAACAAAATTTATACAGAACCACTCCTAAAATTCAACTGAGGCCTGAGTACTGCACAGAACTTTCAACTATGCTGAAGTCTGCCTCTTTTTCCAAAGTTCTAACTTGGTTAATACATTTCCACTCCTTTAAATAAAAACTAACAGTAAAGAAAAATTAAGACAGACTAGATCAGGGGTAGGGAAATGGCCCTGTTGGATTATATCTCCCCTCAGCCCGTGTCACCTTGGCCCTGCAAAAACCACAGGTTCCCCATCATTGCTGTAAATTTGCATAAGATTAAGATAGACTCATTATTTTAAAGGACCTGATATCAAAAAGAGAAGAGTGCTGGGCAAGGCAGCTACAGAGCATGTTCAGGGTACCACCAGAAGGCCCTGCCATTGCTTCCAACTGCACCTCAGATACGTGGAGCTTGAGGGACAGAATGACCTTTGATGATTATCCTAACTAACAAGGCTGATATGGACTCGGGCAGCCCTTCAGATACATTAGTTCTAGGCCATGCAGGACTTTCGAGGAAAACACCGCCACTTTGATTTGAGCCTGGTGACAAACCAGGAGACAGCACAGCTTTTAAAACACTGGTGAGATGTGATGGCAACACCTAGTCCCTGTTGGCAGCCTTGTGGCAGTATTCTGACAGCCTGAAAGGACAGCCCCACATATCTGCATTGCAGTAATCTGGTTCCAAAATGGGTATGGAGCCTTTGTGGATCCAAGAGGCTCACTGCTAGATGGTTGCCTTCCATGAGAAGATGACAAAAATAAGAACAGGACTAAATTGCTTATCCCAACACTTCCCTCCTTGTGTGTTCACTCTGTTTTCATAATGCCTGAAGATGGCTTTAGAAAACTGAATATGTTTCTTAAGAGTCATGAGCAAAAGCTGGAGAATTGCTTGCAGATCCAAGTGGAATGGTTTTTGCTAAAGTAAAGGATTGATCTTGGTACTCAAATGTTTTACATTTTTCATGGGTTAAACAAATATGTGATACTCCTGGTATGTGAGTGGTAGGACAAATCTGTTCCCACTTTTTCTGAATGGAGAATATGGGGGCCTCGCCGCATATGAATATGGCGCTTGGAGAGCACAAGATGGATACACAAACTGTTAAAGAACTGCATATTATTTCATTTCAAATAATTGCTCAATAATGAAAACAATTCTCAACACAGTTGTAGCATGTACTACTCAGGAAGCAAAGTGGACTGACATCTTGCTCCAGCCTTTACACTGACATCAAGGAGAGTGCCACCATTTTCCCACTTATTTATATCTCAGTAGGTAATGATACCTTATTAACAAACGAATAAGTTAGATGGGCATATCAGTGCACCCATGGAGATTCCCAATTACACTGTAACTGTCCTAATGAAGAGCAAAGCAGCACAGAACCGTGGCTTGACACTTATGTCAACTAGGCTGCAGTTTCTGACTCAAAGCAAAGCTCACCAGAAAACATGATGTCAATTTAGACTTATAAATAAAATCTCATCTCTTAAACACTGCACTAGTTTAAGCATTTTTCAGGGCAAAATGCTTAGTCCAATATGGTAGGAGATTCCCAAATCAAACCATGCACCTGATTGCTGTAAAACTAGCTGTTAAAGTGCATCTAAAGTACATATGTGAGAATGATGGTACACATGCAAAACGAAGTCACTCTCACTAGTAGAAAACATCTCTATGTACAAAAGAGATTGTTCAGTTCTTGTGACATCCTACCCAATATGCATGAGAATGAATAAGTTCAGCCTTGAAAGTTAATGTTCACAATACTAGTTGGAAAGGTGTTTGCATAATTATTTGACAGGATGAGACATTTTGATTGCATACAAAAATGGGGACACTTAAGTGACTTCCATCTACACCTCAGCCCCTATGCTCTCTCGTCATTGTACATGATGAGCATGCCACATGGACATGGAGGCAGGATGACTCAGTTTCGGCAATGTAGCGCAAATCTTATGCAAGCATTTCCCCCCCCCCCATCAACAATAACAACTTTATTTTTGCCACAAGGTCATTAGAGACAACTTATTCCTTTGTGACTAACTTCATTCAGAGAGCTTCAATGAAATATTGTAAAGGGAAGTAACATTGCGAAGGTGGAGTAGGAGGGTTAGAATTCAAAGCAAATGTTGCAAGAATGCCATTGACAAAAAAACCAAGATGCTTTTGTGGAAAGGGAGTAGCAGGTGCTTTAGAAAACTATTCATTGAAAAATATCCTTGAAAACGGAATATGAACAAGATTTCTCAGAAGTGACAAATCATTTCATTTTTTTAATATAAATATTGAGTTTTGTTTAATAACATTAATCTGGAAGCTCTGTTCCCTCCCCTCACCTCCCGCAAAGACAAACCACAGGAAAACTAAATTATACAACCTGAATAAACTATACAGATTTGTATATATTGATTGCGGGTTTTTTTATTGGTGATTCTGAAGGGCAAGCAGCTGTGTGTGATCCTGGCCAGTTTCTCAGATTTCAGCAGTCATTGCCTCAATATTTTCAGGTCTCTCTTTGCAGCCATAAAGGTTGGAGCCTTGCTTTTAAAAACAAAATGCAAGTTCAGCTTCTCTGAGGATATTCTGCAGCTGGTGCCATGCTAGCACAGAATTGTTTCAGAATCACAGAATGTCCACAGCCCTGCTCATAACCAAGAGAAGGCATTTGTGACCAATTAGTTAAATGGAATTTATTAAGCATTTTAAGTTCTGGAGGATCTCTAAGATACACAGCAAACATTATTGAAGGAAACATGACAAACTTTGATATATTTAAGAGACGTGCTTCCTAAGCCCCCTTACAGCCGGCTACCATAAGTAACCCAGGAAAGTATGATCTATGAAGACTGTTCTCAATAACTGCTGCAATAAACAAAAATGGACTCTTATTTAATGTTTGACATCTGTATTTGAAGCTGCACACTTTCAGTGGTAAGATTTAAAAGCTTTTACAAAGTGTAAACACATTTTTGCTGTTGATATATTTCACGGACCTTTACAAGGCAGCCTGCCTTACAACATGTTCCAAGAGCTAGCTGATACAGAAATGTTAAAAATGTAATGAATTCTTTACTTTAATGCCAATGTCCTTTTTCTTCCTCTTCGCAAAGAGAGAAAGTAGCATTTGGAGGAGGAAAAAATATAGTACACAGATTTACATTTGTGCATGTGAACAGGTCATCTCTGAGTTCATTAGGCAACTGCATAGCGGAAACAAAGAATACACACTTTTGGCTGTGTGCACAAGGATGGAAGTGAGATGTGAAATGCAACTTGGCACTGAATTATGAAGAAATGTGTTTTTAAATTAATAAATAGTACTTTCCAGACTTCAGAATATCAGGAAAAGGTTTGATCAGTGCAGAAGGCTTGTTTACCAAGAGAGGCCATGGTTCATGGATGTAAAAGGAAATTTGGAAGCAGAAACCATTGGGGGGGGGATTTTTCCACCGGGAATGAAGGATGCTGAGTTCTTTGCATGAGGTATGCTACCTGGAAGTATTATGATTGCCTACTGAGCACAGTGGTCAGTGCACAAAATCATATTAGGACAATAACTTTATCAGGTCGACCAAAATGTTATCTCGACACTTT